CAAGTCGCTCAGGGACTGGGCCCTGGTTTCCTTATACATAAAGCACCACAGCTGACCTTGATAAGACATCAGTTCTGTGCCAGGCACTGCGCTAAGCACCGAACATAGATCAATCCATCTGATTCTCACAACTTCCATAAAGTCGGATATAGTTATCGTCACCACTTTACCAGCTAGGAAATGGAGAGGTGAGCTCATGTGCCCACCTGCCTTTCAAAGTTTCCACAGGGACTAGAGATAACACAAGGGAATCCCACACACCTAGTAGGCGCTTGTCCATGGAATGGCTCCACCAAGCACCAGCTGTGTGACCTTAGACAAATTACTTAACTTCTCTGAGCCACAGACACACAGGTGTGCTATGAGAATTGAGTGAAAGCACTGGGCACACGGTAGGAGTCGTCATTGATCAGCATCATAGTCATTGGTGGCAGCAAATCTTTGTCTTCTGAAAGTAGATTTAATTTTAGGAAATAGCTAAAATTCCAGTGGAATTGAGTCTAGTGACTAATGCCAATGGTCAAACAGAAATGCCATTTTTAGACCAGAACAAAGTGTAGTTATAAAGTCTCAAGCTTGTTTTTCTTTGTGGAGAGGTTTGGTGTTCTGGTGTCAGAGCAGAAGATACCAAAAGTTATCTGTGTTCTTTTAAAAAAATTTTTTTTGGTATTTATTTGAATGTTCCAGGCCTCAGTTGCAGCATTTGGGATTTTTTTTTTTTTTAATTGCAGCATGAGAACTCTTAGTTGCGGCATGTGGGACCTAGTTCCCTGACTAGGGATCAAACCCAGGCCCCCTGTATTTGGAGTGCAAAATCTTAGCCACCGGACCACCAAGCAAGTCTCTGAGTGTGTTCTTGACATGAATCTTATCACTAAACTCACACTCATTTTCAGCATAATCTCGATGGCCAATACTAAACCTACCCATCCTTGGCCCAAATTTAGACATTGACACGTCTTTTAAGTGAAAAGTGAAAGTGAAAGTCGCTAAGTCGTGTCCGACTCTTTGCAACCCCATGGGCAATACAGTCCATGAAATTCTCCAGGCCAGAATACTGGAGTGGGTAGCCTTTCCGTTCTCCAGGGGATCTTCCCAACCCAGGGATCGAGCCCAGATCTCCCACATTGCAGGTGGATTCTTTTTTTTTTTGCAGGTGGATTCTTTACCAGCTGAGCCCCAGGGAAGGCCCTTTTATAAAAAGACCCTTTTTATTCTTTTCTGTGTTCCAGTTGGCTACTTTCTGTTTCTATCATGATCTGAACCCAGACTAACTCTCCAAGGATTAAAAACATGTCACTGCATGCAAAGTGTACAATATGTGAATACATTCTCCTCAAAGTAACTATGTAAATGTTAAACTTTTTAATTAAACTTATTTTTCATGTATGTTTTGAAAAGTGACTTTTCCTCTAATATATTCAAAATGATATATTAAAATTTAAAGTCAAATATAGCTTACACTTAATAAATATCTCCAAATTAATCTAATTTAAATGGTTTTTTGTAAGTTTTAATTTCATCTTATTTAACACTTTTAGGAAAACTGTTCTCAAAATAGTATCCAATGTTGCACTAGTTCCCAACATGAAGAACTGCTACCATGCTTCACAAGTCATGTCCAGACTTGTACACATTAATGTGAATTAATACTTGATAGTGTTTCTCAGCTGCCATGTGCAACGATTACAGAGCCAATGCTGATTCATGAAACCCTTCAGAACAGAAAAAAAATCGAGTTAAACGGACACTTTATTATGCATGTAGAGATCACACCCACGCAACCCAACAGGAGAGATCTGAGAAGTGAATTTACCTTTTCTCTCACATAAAAGTTTCTGCTGCTCAAATCTGCCCCCCAACTCAGAAGCAGAGTCCACCTCTGGTGTTGGCCAAAGCTCAGCCCACACGCCTCCTACAGGCAGGTTCAGGAATCTTTGCTTTTGAGAAAAGCGGGCAAGAGACACAGAGAAGTGTCTCTGGGACTCCAGCAGGGTTAGAACCTGGGTGCTTAGGTTTACAGCACGCTGAGCCCCAGGCTCCCTGTGGTCCTCGGTTAGGATTTGTTTGGGGTTAGAGATTCCCTCTGAAGGGCGGTTGTTAGGCAGGGTCACTGCGGTCCTGGTCGAGGGGGCTACAGCACCCACTACCCCACCGTGCCAAATTCTCTGTTGCTTGGAAACATTTTCATAAGCTGTGCCCTTTACCTGGAACATTCTCTTTCTTAGTCTTTCAGGTCTCAATTTAAAAATCCCCTTCTCAAGGGCTTCCCTGGTGGTCCAGTGGCTAAAACTCTGTACTCCCAATGGAGGGGGCCTGGATTCCATCCCTGGTCTGGGAATTAGACTTCACAAGCTGCAACTAAGAGTTTGCACGCTGAAACTAAGACCTGGCCCAACCAAATATTATAAATAAATAAATATATATATTTTTAAAAATTCCCTTCTCAGTCCCATCTATCCTCTAAATCCAGACTGGTCCCCCCGCTGTTCTCATGGAACCCAGTTCTTTCCCTTCCTGGCAGTTGTTAGAATTAATAATAATGATATCATTATAACTGGGCTTCCCTGGTAGTTTGCATATTCATGGCCTTGCTCTCTTCCATTTCTCACAAGAATGGAAGTTCCATGAGGGCAGGGACCACATCCTTTTGTCCATCACTGTATAACCAGTGCTGTTTGGCACAGAATTGGTACCCAGGAAATACTTGCTGATGACTCTCAACTGTTAGTTCCCTCACCTTTAGTATCAAGGTGTTACTCTCTGCCTCAGTGGAGAGAGAATGGGAACAGTATGATGCACAGTAGGTGGTCAATAAATGCTACTCCTGTTATCACTCATTCAGAGGCAGATGAGGACTGAGGAATCTTAGCAGTGGGGACTTAAGGGCTATTTAGGGTTGGATGTGGAGAAGGAAATGGCAGCCCACTCCAGTACTCTTGCCTGGAAAATCCCATGGATGCAGGAGCCTGGGAGGCTACAGTCCATGTGGTAGCAAAGATTCGGACACGACTGAGCAACTGAGCGAGGGTTGGATGGATTTCGTGGAATACGGAGGGCAACCCAGGAGAAGGGAACAGCTACAACAGAAGTATGGAGGAGAGAAGCTACAAAGACAATAAGTAAACCTACAGGGCTGGATGGAGAGTAGGGTTTGAGAAAGCCCTGTAGTGAGAAAGGCAGACTGGGGCCAGGTCAGGGAGAGCTTTGAACACCAACCCAGTGCACTTAAAGCTGATCGTAGGGACCCAGTGATGATTTTGGAGCAAAGGTGTGAACTGAAGAAGTAGCATTTTAGGAAGATTATGTATGGCAAATTGGGACCAGATGGACCAAGGACGTGGAGAAAAACAAAAAGACTATTTCATTCAAATTCCATCTAATCATTATGACTGTATAAAATATAAAAGGGTTAAGAGCAAAAGCTCTGACAGAAGACAGTTCTGGTTACCATCTGGCCGATACTAAGCAGCTCACTTCACTTCTCTGGACCTCAGTTTCTCCACCTACAAAATAGAAATAATAATAACCTGTACCTCACCTGTGTCACTGGACTCTTGTCCAGTGAAAATCAAATGAAATAGGGAATTCCCTGACAGTCCAGTGGCTAGGACTCAACACCTTCACTGCTGTGGCCTGGGTTCAATTGCTGGTCAGAAAACTAAGATCCCACAAACCTTGTGGGCAGAAAAGGAAAAAAGTGCTCACTAATTTACTCATGCAAAAAATGAATCCCAACCATGTGTCAAGCTGTGTTGTAAATGATGAGGAAACAGAGATGAATCTAAAGTGCTCTGAAATGGGGCACATAATTACCAATTTTTTGTCTTTTTTTTTTCTTCTAATTACTGATTTTTGAACGTTTACCGTATGTAGCTTTCCACCTGTCATCTCATTTATCCTGCACAACACCCCTACCAGGTCAGTGCTGTTGTCAAACCCATTTCATAAAATGAGGAAACAGAGGCTCAGAGAGGTTAAGTCAGCCACCCAAGGATGTTCAGCTCTTAAGCAGCAGGGCTTAAGCCTTGTGCTCAGGGCTGGCTGACCCATGCCGGAGAAATACATCTGTTTCCAACCATCTTGCTGTTCCCTTTCCAGCTATAAACCATCCCACCTTTTCTTTTTCCTTTTTCTTTTTTTTGACTGCAGAACTCCCCTCACCTTTCAAGTTTTAGATCAGGTTTCAGGAAGCCTCCAGGACCCCCAGTTAGGCCCCTCTTCTGGGCTTCCCCTGCACTTAGCCAAACCCCTCCCATGATATTAATCATACCAACACTACATTCCCTTGTCTCTAAGCTTTTTAAAAAGCACGTTCCAGGACTTCCCTGGTGGTCCAGTGGTTAAGACTCTGCACGCCCAATGCAGGGAGCATGAGTTCAATCCCTGGTGAGGAGACTAATCCCTCACTAAGATCCTGTGTGCTGCAAGGCAAAAAAAAGTCCAGCTGAATCAACAGAACTTTAAAAAAAAAATTCATAAAAATTAACTAAAATGTATTTTTAAAAGCATGTTCCTTATGGTAAGTAAACATTTACATTTACACCCAGAATATAAGCATATTTCTCTATAAAGTATATACACATGCATCTGTCGATCTATATATATTAAATATTAGTAAATCCTGATTCTTTTTTTTATGAAAAACAAAGATACATACAGGATCTGATCTCATGTTTTCTTCCCATGCCCCATTTACCACCAACAAATTACAAATCGGCATCTCTAAGCCAAAGCTCAGGGCGTGGGGGGACCTGTTACAGGGACGCCAATCTTCAGGCCGCTGGGGATCTGACATCTCGTGAGTTCTTCTCTTAGTGGGTCAGGCTGGGGGGAGGGGAGGGTGCTCTGGGCAGGAGCCCCTCCCACAGTCCTGCCACCCTCTGGAGCCTGCAGGAGGTGGGGGTGAGACTGAGCCTGGATTAGCTGGGGCCAGCGGCAGGGAAGCTTCTAGAGCTGCAGGGCGGCCAGAGAAGTGGGTGCAGCTAGGCGCAGGCACCATGCCGCTGCAGGACGACACCCTCCGAGAGGTGTGGGCCTCAGACAGGTCTGGAAAGCCCCCACCTCACCCTACCTGAAGCCTGGTGGGGGGCTCAGATGGAGGGTTTGGGGAGGGAGACAGGCTGATGCCTTTGCTACCCTCAGCGGTCACGAGGAGGAAGGCCAGAGCCCTGAGGTCCAGCAGCGCACCAAGCAGGTATGTCACCCGGGTTGGGGAGGAGACGAGAGCCCCCACGCAGCCCAGGGGATCTGGGAGCCAGGCCCGGCCCCCCCTCAGCAGCCTCTGGGGGTCCCTACTTCCCTGGAAGTTTGGGCTTTGCTTTGTTCTTGCAGGAAAGGGGTGTTTGGGGGGGCATAGGGTGTCCTGGGGAAGAATCTGGGCTTTGGGACATTGGAGGTGGCCATGAGGCGTGGGAGGGAGTCGTCCATCCACGCCCCAGGAAGGAGCGCAGTTCCCCTCCNACGCCCCGGACGCGGAGGACGGTGAGCGAACCCCGAGGGAAGGGGGCGGCTGGAGAGGAGGGGTTGGACAGGAACAACAGACAGAGACAGACAACTGGGGAAAACAGCGTCTGGGTCCCTGGCCTTGGCTCTGAACTAGGAAACCCTTTATGCTCGTGTTCTTGTCCACATTTTCCGGATGGGGAAACCGAGGCACAAAGGAGCGGTTAGGAGCTCTGCCTTAGACTACTGCTAGGAGCCAGCCGGAGCTCAGATGGGTCTGGCTGGGGGTTAGAAAGAGAGACAGACCAGGGTAGGGAGAAGCAGAGTGGGAGAAGCAGGCACGTGTCTCATTAGAAGGGATGAAAAAGGGGAAACTGAAAGATGCCAGGAGGGTGTGTGACAGCCAGAGAGAGAGGAAGGACCTGCAGAGAAGTGCATTTTCCCAGAACAGGATCGCCAAGCCCCCAACGTACCCCCGACTCCAGCTCTCCTGCGACTTGCACACCGTGGAAGACTTTGGGGTCACCCATTCTTTGAGACTCTTCCTCCTGTTTCTGTCCCAGAGGGGAGCCTCCTACCCCTGGCTCCTTCACTGCCTCCCAGCAATCTGGAGAGACTGAGCCCTGCAGAGATTAGAGGACCCACCCCAACCCCCATGTTGATGAATTTCTACCTACAGGGGATGAGGAGGAGGGAGAGGAGGACCTGGAAGATGAAGACGAAGAGGAGGAAAAGAAGGAGAGAGTCCGCCTGCCTCCCAAGAAAGCCCCCAAGGAGAAGGCTTCTACAGACATCAAGGAGAGGAAGACCAAGGCCCAGGGTCCAAAGGGTGGGTGTTGAGGGTCCAGAGGGGGCAAAAAGACACACAAAACTGACCCCAGAGGGGCCTGGGGGTTCATAGATGTGCAGGGGTTGAGACATCAGAAAGTTACCAGGTGCCTGGACCCAAGTGTTCCACCCTTTGGTGATTTCTTCCCTCTGCATGCTGAATGCCAAGTCACTTCCGGGGGGGCACCAAGCAGCCCCGTGGACTGCGGGGCCTCAGCGCAGCCCTGCGTCTGGCCGCCCCAACCCCCCCGCCTGCCTCCAGCGGCGTCAGTGTCCCCGTGTCCTACTCTTTGCAACCCTATGGACTGTAGCCCGCCAGGCTCCTCAGTCCATGGGATTCTCCAAGCAAGAATACTGGAGTGGGTTGCCATGCCCTTCTCCAGGGGATCTTCCCAACCCAGGGATCAAACCCACCTCTCTTGTGTCTCTGCATTGACAGGCGGGTTCTTTACCACTACCACCACTTGGGAAACTTCTTCCCTCTAATGATCCTTAAATTAATATGCACCCCCACCACCATCCATCCCCCCAGCCCCCTGCTCAGGGTGTGCTGAGCCAGGGAGGGCAGAGGATTTTCATGTTCTTGGTGAGTTTTTAAGTTTTGTTTTTAACTCAGTATGAATTATATTTATAATTTTTACAAAAGTATCAAAGTGATTATAATAAAAATCAATCAGTGAGTAAATACTGTGATGGCTTCCTGTCTGGGCACCTTGTCCGACGGGTCTTGGGGTCTGGTGTAAATGTAGACACGTAGCTAGGACCTTGGGCCTCTTGAAGGGAGAGGACTGTCTGGAGCTCTGACCAGAGAAAGTTTGGAGGTTTTTTGAGGGAGATGGGGTGGGAGCTGGTATTCAGAGTTTCCTTAGAAGGCCTGGCATTCATTCATTCACTGCTTACTAAACTCCTGGTGTTTGTTCTGTTCCTTTTAGACTCAGGGTTAAAAACAAGATAGGCAGAGGGGCTCTGGGCCTCCCAGGGGACTGAAGGGACAATGAGTGCGGTGGAAGGTGTGACTCTTCCTTGTCTAACCCCCACCCTCCCTTTCCAGGAGATCTGGGAAGCCCTGGCCCCCCACTGAAACCTCTGCGAGTTAAGAAAAAGGAGGCTCCAGCGGGGGAAGGGACCAAGATAAGAAAGATGAAGAAGAAAGGTGAGCCTGGTGTCCGGAGGAGCAAGGGTCTCTGGGGGTGTGTGTGGCGGGGGTGGGTGGGCTGTGACCCCTTCACTTCCACACAAGCAGGGTCCGGGGAGGCTGACAAGGACTGCTCCGTGAGCCCAGGCAGGGTGAAGAAGACACCAGCGGCCATGTTTCTGGTTCCCGGGGATGGCCCGTTGCAGAAAGCTCTGAAGAAGGGTGGGTGGTGAGCTTTGGTGAGCTCTGGTTCCCGGGCGTCCAGGGGCACAGTTAGTTGTCACTGTGGAGGGGCGGGTGCGGCCTAGATGGGGTAAGGAGGAGGTTCTCAAGTCGGAAGACTTGGGGGCACCTTGACGCCCACTTGAATAAGCCGTGTGGCCTCAGGACAGGGTCTTCGCCTTTCTTATTCCTCTCCAATGATAGTGAACTGGGATTGCTCCCCTGTGGCTGTGGGAAGCGTCCAGGTGAGGCGTGGGTGTCCCTTGTAAACTGTGATGTGCCCCTGCCAGGGTAAGGGGCGAACAGGCTTCCCCTCCACCCCCAGGCACTCCTAAAGGCTCCGAAGAGGAGAAGAAGGAGGACGGGGAGGAGGAAGAGGCGGCCGCGGTGGTGACCAAGAACAGCAATCAGAAGGGCAAAGCCAAGGGAAAAGGCAAAAAGGTGGGAGTGCAGAAGGGAGAGGGTGACGTCCCTGCTGGGAGCAGTGGCAGGGTCTGGGGGACCTGGGCGTGGGGCCTCGTGTGCTGAGGCCATGGAGTACGGTGGAAGGTGTGACTCTTCCTTGTCTAACCCCCACCCTCCCTTTCCAGGAGATCTGGGAAGCCCTGGCCCCCCACTGAAACCTCTGCGAGTTAAGAAAAAGGAGGCTCCAGCGGGGGAAGGGACCAAGATAAGAAAGATGAAGAAGAAAGGTGAGCCTGGTGTCCGGAGGAGCAAGGGTCTCTGGGGGTGTGTGTGGCGGGGGTGGGTGGGCTGTGACCCCTTCACTTCCACACAAGCAGGGTCCGGGGAGGCTGACAAGGACTGCTCCGTGAGCCCAGGCAGGGTGAAGAAGACACCAGCGGCCATGTTTCTGGTTCCCGGGGATGGCCCGTTGCAGAAAGCTCTGAAGAAGGGTGGGTGGTGAGCTTTGGTGAGCTCTGGTTCCCGGGCGTCCAGGGGCACAGTTAGTTGTCACTGTGGAGGGGCGGATGCGGCCTAGATGGGGTAAGGAGGAGGTTCTCAAGTCGGAAGACTTGGGGGCACCTTGACGCCCACTTGAATAAGCCGTGTGGCCTCAGGACAGGGTCTTCGCCTTTCTTATTCCTCTCCAATGATAGTGAACTGGGATTGCTCCCCTGTGGCTGTGGGAAGCGTCCAGGTGAGGCGTGGGTGTCCCTTGTAAACTGTGATGTGCCCCTGCCAGGGTAAGGGGCGAACAGGCTTCCCCTCCACCCCCAGGCACTCCCAAAGGCTCCGAAGAGGAGAAGAAGGAGGACGGGGAGGAGGAAGAGGCGGCCGCGGTGGTGACCAAGAACAGCAATCAGAAGGGCAAAGCCAAGGGAAAAGGCAAAAAGGTGGGAGTGCAGAAGGGAGAGGGTGACGTCCCTGCTGGGAGCAGTGGCAGGGTCTGGGGGACCTGGGCGTGGGGCCTCGTGTGCTGAGGCCATGGAGTACCTTGGGGTTAGAATTCTTAGCTCCCTCTTTGGTGAAAGGATATGAGGACAAAGGGAACCAGGTTTGTAGGAATAGAAGAGGCAGTGCGGGGTCAGCAGGCTGGGACTGGTGACCCCGGGGCCTTATGCTGTCTGCCCTGAGCCCTCCCCACTGCAGCCTAACCATCAGACACAGCCAGAGGTGCTTGCATGGCCCCGCATGAACGCACACACATTTTCTGTACCAGGAGGTGAAGCACAGTCAGACAGGCACCGCATACACAGCCCTGGGCACAGGGACTGACCAACAGCCCACTGACTGTGAGTTATTAAAACAGTTTCACCCTGCTGCTCTGAGACTGCTCAGAATGCTTCCTCCTCTCCCACCCAGGACCTCCTTCCAGCAACCAAACTATCCAGCAACCAGAGGGTTAACACTGGCCCTCAAGGGCCTCCAGGACCCTCCTCTGGGCCTACCCTGTCCATTCTGATTGGGCAGTCTCCAGGGGCAGACCCGTGTTGTTAAATATATTGAATGCTGCCCCTCCTCACAAACAGGACTCAGGTACCAACATGCACAGGCTGGAGTAAGCAAGAGAGAGGGGTCCAGCTGGAGAAAGTGATGAAAGCCTTTGAGAAACACGCTTCCAGGAATGGAGTGATCACCCTGAGGGCAGGGCCTGGGGGGTGAGGGTGGGGTCTTGGCTTTGTGGGTCTGTTCCTTTGTACAAGCATGGTCAGGTCTCCACAGACTGATTCACACGGGCGAAGATCACCAGATACTGATGTATAAACTGAAAGCCCAGTTTATTATCTTCCAGAAAGAATATGCAGGCATGCAGAGCCTTTAATATAGTAGACCCTTGAAATTCACCATGTAGAAATGTTTAAATGAGTTCCGGCTTTCTCCATACCACATTCCAAACATAGTCCTGAGTTTCCCAAGTTTCTTCTGCAGCAGCCTAGAGTGGAGAAGAGATGCACACTCCCCCGGAGGTTAAGGGCCCGCTTCCCAACACCAGCCTCACTCCACACACAGTGCAAACCTGCCTTCAGCAAAATGGGCAACCTCAGCCCACCAGGGCTTCTTGGTGGCTCCCAGAGAGCATTTACTCCTCAAATGCACATACCCAGGTGGCAGTCCCATCTCTCCCCTGCTGAGAAAGTTGGGGTTAGAATCTTGGTTGCCCTTCCTGTGAGGGACAGAACATGAGAGCAAAGGGTACTAGCCTTGTAAGAACAGAAGGCGCAACAGTAGGGTGATCATCAGGCCACCCTAGAGCCTAATGCAACCAAAGAGTTATTAAAAGTTTTCAATGAGCAAAATGAGCTTATTTATTCATCTGTTGTATTGCTATGTAACAAACCACCCCAAAACTTAAAACAACAATTCATCCTCTTAATTTCTGTGAGTCAGAAATCTAGGAACAGACTCACAGACTTAGAGAGCGAACTTATGGTGGCCAGGGGGAAGGATAGGGAGAAGGGATAGCTAGGGAGTTTGGGATAGATATGTACACACTGCTATATTTAAAATGGATAAGCAACAAGGACCTGCTATATAGCACAGGGAACCCTGCTCAATGTTATGTGGCAGCCTGGATGGGAGGGGAGTCTGGGGGAAAATGGATTCAGGTATATGTATAGCTGAGTCCCTTCACCGTTCACCTGAAACTATCACAATAATGCTAACCGGCTATACCCCAATACAAAATAAAAAGTTTAAAAAGAAAAGAAATCTAGGGGAAAAAAAAGAAATCTAGGAGTAGTTTAGCAAGAGTAGTTCTGGCTCAGCGTGTCCCATGAAGTTGCAGTCAAGGTGTCAACTGGGGCTGCACTCATTCTCAAATCTTGACTGGAAATGGAAGATCTACTTCTAAATTGGTTTACTATCATGATTGTTGGCTGGAGGCCTCTCCAGAGGCTCCTTGAGTGTCCTTATGATGTGGTAGCCAATTTGCCTCAGAGTTCAAGAATGGCCCAAGAGACAGAGCAAGGCAGAACCTGTAATATCTTTTATGACCTAGCTTTCAAAGTGACCGCCCATCACTTCAGCCTTATTCCACTGATCACAGAGACCAATGTGGGAAGGATCTACATTAGGGTATAAATGCCGTCTTGGAGATTGGCTGCTACATTCACTGGGTATTTACTGTCTGCTAAACTAACAGGTGGCACTAGTGGTAAAGAACCCACCTGCCAATGCAGGAGATGCTGGAGACAAAAGTTCAATCCCTGGGTCAGGAAAATCCCCTGGAGGTGGGAACAGCAACCCACTCTAGTATTCTTGCCTGGAGAATCCCATGGACAGAAGCCTGGTGGGAGATGCTCCATAGGGTCACAAAAAGTCAGACACAACTGAAGTGACTTAGCACGCCTGCATGCACATAGTGACAGTAGTAGCTAACACTTCCATAACACCATGTGTCTAGAACACAGTAATCCATACCTTCAGCCTCACCTCAGTTCACGCCCTAAGAGCATCCATGTGATGGAAGGTCTTTCAACAGGCTATGCGTCTAACAGAAGACTGAGCAGCATTCAACACCCAGCTTCACCTCTTACTATGTGAACTTGGGCAAGTTATTAAGCCTCTCTGGGCCTCAGCTTCTTCACCTGTATAAGGAGACCAACCACCTCAGTAGCTATAGATAAGAAGAATGATAATATTCCAAAGAGGAATATTTGGAAAGTGCATAGAATAATTCCTGGCACATCAGTAGACTTTCTATGAGTGTCTGTTAAATATATAAGATCTGTCCCAGGTATCCACCCCCATCCTGCATACTTAGATGAAAAGAACTGAGTCACAGCGTAGTTAAAAATTAACAAACTTAATAAACAGTTCGTGGTGGAACCAGGATTTGAACCCAAGCTGTCCGCTCCAGAGCCTTGGCTCTTAACCACAAGCTAAACAGAATCTTAATAAAGCACAAGGCTCCCCACAGCCCGGTGAGCCTGGGGGAGGCTGAGGGGCCCCGGGCGAGCACTGGAGTCGCCTCTGTTCTTCCCCCCAAACAGAAAGCGGTGAGTTATCCTGCCTGCCTCCCGGCTCCGGACCTGCTGAGGGCTGGGGGAGACGGTGCTCTGGGGCTGACGCACCCTCTGCCCCGACTCAGAAGGAGGACAGGGCCCCATCCCCACCTGTGGAAGTGGATGAACCCCAGGAGTTCGTGCTTCGGCCTGCACCCCAGGGCCGGACGGTCCGCTGCCGGCTGACCCGAGACAAGAAGGGTATGGACCGCGGCCTGTATCCCTCCTACTTCCTGCACCTGGACACCGAGAAGAAGGTGGGTCGGAGGAGGGAGGGAGAAGGGAGAGGGGAGGGGCCCGGACCCGGGTCGAGAGCCAGAATGGGGGTGGGGGCTGGGGGACAAACGGGCCTTCCCCTCCCCGCGCTCCCCTCCCGCTCGCCTCGGTCTTCCAGCGCATCTCCGCTGCCCTCTCCCCAGGTGTTTCTCTTGGCCGGCAGGAAGCGGAAGCGCAGCAAGACCGCCAACTACCTCATCTCCAGCGACCCCACCAATCTGTCCCGGGGAGGGGAGAATTTCATTGGGAAGCTGAGGTGGGGCTGCGAAACTCTGGAGCCAGTCACCTCTGCCCCGCTGTGCGGAGTGCCCCCCACCTCAGACACTCTGGAATTGTCCCCCGGCCCCGGGCTTCTCTATACACATGAACACTTGTCCGCTTTGATGCAGTAGATAGATCACTTGGGGATCTTCTTCAAATGGCTCAGTGAGGGGAGTTCCCTGGTGGTCTAGAGGTTAAGATTCTGAACTTTCACTTTGGTGGCTTGGGTTCAATCCCTGATCTGGGAAACTGAGATCTGGCAAGTCCCAGGGAGAGGCAAAAAACAAAAATTGGGTTCAGAGGGTCTGGGCTGGGAGTGAGTTTCTGCATTTCTAAGACGCACCAGGGTGATGCTCATGCTGCTGGTGCAGGGACCTCACTTGGAGTAGGGCATAAAGTCCAGGAAACAGGGATTATGCCTGTCTTGTTCATGGTTGAATTCCTAGCACCTGGCACATAGTAGCTATTCAATAAACAGTTACTAACTGACAGGACAAAATAGTCAGCACCTACCCTGTGTTATGTCTCCCCATATAGGTCATCCAATCCTCACCACAAATCTGAGAGATAAGGAGAAAGTGAATCTCCAAGTCAGGCTTTATTTATGTCTTTACCAAACATATACGTAAGGCCTACCTATGTGTCAGAGGTGTTTCTAGGTAACTTGCAAATATTAATGCATTCAATAATCTTATCAACCAAATTGATAGTAAATACTATTACCACGCCCATTTTACAGATGGGGAAGTTGAGGCTAAGAGTTTAAATCACTTGCTCGGGGTCACACAGCTAGTAAGAGCTTAGGTTTGAAAGCTGCCCAGTCTCCTTGTAGACCCAGGTTTTAAAGACTTCCTGCAGAAAGCCAGGGGCAGGGTCCTAAGACACACCCATGCTTGAGGCAGAAAGTTCTTAAAGCTTGGCTGTGAGGAGGGGTCTGGAAGAAGGGGTATGGAACCCCCTCAGCCCCACCCCCAGCTCCACCCTGCTTGCAGATCCAACCTCCTGGGGAACCGCTTTACGGTCTTTGACAATGGGAAGAACCCGCACCGCGGCGGCAGCACGGACGTGGGAAGCCTTCGGCAGGAGCTGGCGGCCGTGATCTATGTGAGAGCGCCCTCTGTCCCCCTGTGCCCTGCGGCAGGCCCCTTCCCTCGCCGGGCGGTCTAATGCGCATCTCCCTCCCAGGAAACCAATGTGCTGGGCTTCCGAGGTCCCCGGCGCATGACGATCATCATTCCTGGCATGAATTCCGACAACGAGAGGGTGCCCATTCGGCCTCGCAATGTGAGCCCCGCACCTCACTGACAGCCTTTCCCTGTGGGTCTTGCTCCCTGGTTACCGGCTTGTAACCCACTTCTGGGAAGCCGTGTGGGGCACGGCTGACCCGAGACAAGAAGGGCATGGACCGCGGCCTGTATCCCTCCTACTTCCTGCACCTGGACACCGAGAAGAAGGTGGGTCGGAGGAGGGAGGAAGAAGGGAGAGGGGAGGGGCCCGGACCCGGGTCGAGAGCCAGAATGGGGGTGAGGGCTGGGGGACAAACGGGCCTTCCCCTCCCCGCGATCCCCTCCCGCTCGCCTCGGTCTTCCAGCGCATCTCCGCTGCCCTCTCCCCAGGTGTTTCTCTTGGCCGGCAGGAAGCGGAAGCGCAGCAAGACCGCCAACTACCTCATCTCCAGCGACCCCACCAATCTGTCCCGGGGAGGGGAGAATTTCATTGGGAAGCTGAGGTGGGGCTGCGAAACTCTGGAGCCAGTCACCTCTGCCCCGCTGTGCGGAGTGCCCCCCACCTCAGACACTCTGGAATTGTCCCCCGGCCCCGGGCTTCTCTATACACATGAACACTTGTCCGCTTTGATGCAGTAGATAGATCACTTGGGGATCTTCTTCAAATGGCTCAGTGAGGGGAGTTCCCTGGTGGTCTAGAGGTTAAGATTCTGAACTTTCACTTTGGTGGCTTGGGTTCAATCCCTGATCTGGGAAACTGAGATCTGGCAAGTCCCAGGGAGAGGCAAAAAACAAAAATTGGGTTCAGAGGGTCTGGGCTGGGAGTGAGTTTCTGCATTTCTAAGACGCACCAGGGTGATGCTCATGCTGCTGGTGCAGGGACCTCACTTGGAGTAGGGCATAAAGTCCAGGAAACAGGGATTATGCCTGTCTTGTTCATGGTTGAATTCCTAGCACCTGGCACATAGTAGCTATTCAATAAACAGTTACTAACTGACAGGACAAAATAGTCAGCACCTACCCTGTGTTATGTCTCCCCATATAGGTCATCCAATCCTCACCACAAATCTGAGAGATAAGGAGAAAGTGAATCTCCAAGTCAGGCTTTATTTATGTCTTTACCAAACATATACGTAAGGCCTACCTATGTGTCAGAGGTGTTTCTAGGTAACTTGCAAATATTAATGCATTCAATAATCTTATCAACCAAATTGATAGTAAATACTATTACCACGCCCATTTTACAGATGGGGAAGTTGAGGCTAAGAGTTTAAATCACTTGCTCGGGGTCACACAGCTAGTAAGAGCTTAGGTTTGAAAGCTGCCCAGTCTCCTTGTAGACCCAGGTTTTAAAGACTTCCTGCAGAAAGCCAGGGGCAGGGTCCTAAGACACACCCATGCTTGAGGCAGAAAGCTCTTAAAGCTTGGCTGTGAGGAGGGGTCTGGAAGAAGGGGTATGGAACCCCCTCAGCCCCACCCCCAGCTCCACCCTGCTTGCAGATCCAACCTCCTGGGGAACCGCTTTACGGTCTTTGACAATGGGAAGAACCCGCACCGCGGCGGCAGCACGGACGTGGGAAGCCTTCGGCAGGAGCTGGCGGCCGTGATCTATGTGAGAGCGCCCTCTGTCCCCCTGTGCCCTGCGGCAGGCCCCTTCCCTCGCCGGGCGGTCTAATGCGCATCTCCCTCCCAGGAAACCAATGTGCTGGGCTTCCGAGGTCCCCGGCGCATGACGATCATCATTCCTGGCATGAATTCCGACAACGAGAGGGTGCCCATTCGGCCTCGCAATGTGAGCCCCGCACCTCACTGACAGCCTTTCCCTGTGGGTCTTGCTCCCTGGTTACCGGCTTGTAACCCACTTCTGGGAAGCCGTGTGGGGCAGGGAGGGGGCGTTCCGCCTGCCCCGTACCCAACCCCTGAGCACAGCCATCACCCCATCACAAATTCATTTTGGCCACTTGCACAAGGGATTCAGTTTGGAGGATTTTCATTGAACTCACTGAAACAAGCACAATAGGGTTGGTTGGTTGGTTATTATTTTTTTTTTTTAGTGTACATCATAATCATTCATTCATATATTCATTCAACTCACATACATTGAGTACCAAGTATTAGTCGAGGCAACTGAAGGCATTGACAAAACGAAGATCTACCCTCATGAACCTGGCATCCCAGGGCAGGGAGACAGACAGTAGACAAAGACTGTAATAAGTAAGTAAATTGTGTAGTGTGTTAGAAAGTGGTATTTACTGTGGGGGGCGGGGGGTGGGGAGAGAAAAAGTTGAGCAGGGAAAGGAGATGAGGTGCATGTCTGTGTAGGTTTCGATTTAAATTCAGTGGTCAGAGGGGCCTCACTAAGCCGATGAAATTTGAAGGAGGTGAGGAGCAACCCTGCAGATATCTGGGAAAAGATCATGCAGGCAGGGAGAAGAGCCAGTGCAAAGGCCCTGAGGCAGGAGAGTGCCTGCTGAGTTTGAAGAGCAGCAAGGTGGCCAGGGTGGCTGGAGGAAGATGAGGTCAGAGAGGTGAGAGTGAGGGGCAGGTGAGCCTGTATAGCTGGTTTTTACTCAGAGCAACAGGAACTGCAGGGCTTTGAGCAAAGGAGTGATATGAGTTGACATAGTTTAAAAAGTAAAGGTTGTTTTTTGTGTGTGTGAGGTGTAGGGCAAAATGGAGAGCTGGCCCAGAGCGAGGGGGCCTCCTTCAGTATGTCAGACCCATGCTTTGCCCCTCAGCACTGCAAGCTGAGTGAGCCTGGGATTTCAGAGATGGTCAACTGGCATGTCTCATACTCAGTGATGTCACTTTACTCATTTACAATGAAAAAGAATACTGCCGTCAGCTGATCACACATCCTTCCCTGCTGGAAAGCCACACTGGAATAATCAGAGACCTGGCCAACCCATGGGGCACAAGCCCTGGGTGGCTCCGGTCTTTAGGAGCCTGTGTGTTCCACAACTGCTCCTCCCGGCCTGGAATAGACCACAGATCCTCCAAAGGCGGTGCCTCCCACGTGTGCTTAGGCTTAGTGAGAACTGACACCCAGAGCTGCTCTGAATCTCTCTTCATCATCAGTTCATTCATTCTACAATCATTTAGTAATGCCAGGTACTGAGGAAGGTAAAATCAATACAAGATGTACCATCAAAACAATATCTGATATTTATTGAACTTTTACTCTGTGCAAGGGACTGATCAAAACAATACTTCATGCACTATTAATCATTTAATCTTCACAACACCCTGTTATGAGGGAAACTAAGGCACAGAGTTCAGTTCAGTTCAGTTCAGTCACTCAGTCGTGTCCGACTCTGTGACCCCATGGACTGCAGCATGCCAGGCTTCCCTGTCCATCACCAGCTCCCAGAACTTGCTCAAACTCGTGTCCATTGAGTCAGTGATGTAGTCCAACCATCTCATCCCCTGTCGTCTGTAAGGCACAGAGCCACTAGTCAAATACTGTGCCTGCTGTTAGGGTATCTAATTCTGTCCATAACAGTGCACCGGGAGAAATCATAAGAGCGAGGTGTTATGGAAATTCAGAGCTAAGACATTTAAATCAGACTTGGGGTCAGGAAGGCTTCTTGGAGGACAGAATCTTGAGTGGAGTCATTCTAAACCATGAACATGAACAGGTGACAAAGAAACCAAGAAAAGAAATACATGTCTCATACAGACCCCGCTCTTTCCTTCCAGAAACTCTTCCAGGACATTCTAACTACTCTTTACCTGTACACCTCTCGAAACTCAACTGTGAGCTCCTTGTAGATCCTAGAATATCTGGTTCATCCTTGTGACAGATGCCTGCGTGTGGCCCAAGACCCCTTGGGACCACTGGCACAGAGCCCCTCCTGTGTGGCAGATGCTACTTTTCACTTTCCAACCCTCCACTCTGGCGTCCCACAGCCAAGCCCATTCTCCCAGACATACACCCTGGCCAGAAGGATGCCACAGACACCATGGGTGTACTCAAAGAAACCCTGGCCACCATGGCCATTGACACCCAGGCTGCACACACATACGTGAGCATCACAGGTCCCCAGGCCACCCCCGCCCCCAGCAGTCCCACGATATCTCAGCCCACTCTCACCATCAAGCCCCTAATGCTCCCCACCCCTCACACCCCAGGCCAGTGACGGGTTGCTGGTACGCTGGCAGAACAAGACACTGGAAAGCCTCATTGAGCTGCACAACAAGCCCCCCATTTGGAACGAAGACAGCGGCTCCTATACCCTCAACTTCCAAGGCCGAGTCACCCAGGCCTCGGTCAAGAACTTCCAGATTGTCCACACCGATGACCGTGAGTATCTGAGGACCCAAACCAGGCTGTTCCTCACCACCTCCAAGACCTCAACCCTCACTCAGCTCTTTCCCTCCCGACTTCCCCCGCCATCTCCCCCCCACCACCGCCAGCCCTCTCTCTCTCACACACACTGGAGTGGAGCTGGCTTTTATCCCTGGAACCAGACACTCAGGAAGGTCACTCTCTCCTGTGGGGGCACTCACACTGTACCCCCAAGGAGCCTCAGATATTCCAAGCAGCTGTCTTCAGGTACATTGTTTTCAGGCCCTCGTCCTAGCACTGACCAGAGCCTGGGCAGATGCTGGGCTGTTCTGGGTAAGACTGCGTTGAAGGGACAGTTACGCTGCTAGAGTTTAAAAACCACTGAAAGGGCATTCCCAGGTGGTCCAGTGGTTAGGACTTGGTACTTTCACTGCCATGGCCCTGGGTTCAATCCCTTGTCAGGGAAATAAGATACTGCAAGTGAAGCCTAAAAGCCACGAGGCTTTGCCAAAAGTAAAAGTTAAAAAAACAAAACTTATAGGCACTTCCCTGGTGGTCCTGTGGCTAAGACTCCACGCTCCCAGTGCAGGGGGCCCAGGTTTAACTCCTAGTCAGGGTACTCGGTCCCATATGCAGCCACTAAGACTCAGCACAGCCAAATCAATAATAAAAAAACAAAGAAAACTTATAGCCCAACCCCTGTGTGGCCAGAGAGGATGCCGAGGTTCGGAGAGGGCAGTCCCTTACCCAAATCTCTCAGCAGCTGCAGGCAGTTACCCTGGCCCTCAAATTTTATTTCACAAACACACAGTGCTTTCTGTGGACCAGACACTGTTCTCAGGACTTCACAGATACTGATTCATTAAATCTTTTCAACAACCCTGTGAGGAAGGTATTATTGTCCCTATTGGAAGGACAGAGGAGGCTGGCGTGCTGCAATCCATGGAGTCACAGAGTGTCAGACACGACTTAGTGACTGAACAGCATTTGGCAGATGAGAAAACCAAGGTGCAGAGAGGTTGCGTAACTTACAGCTTGTGAAAGGCAGAGCTGGGGTTAGAACCCAGGGAGTCTGGCTCCAGTGTCCCACTCCTAACCCCATCAAGATGATTGTCTTTCAGGAGTAGGAAATATACGTCAGGCATTTCTATTCTTCTCTTTCCAGTGAGGTCAAAGGCCTGCCATCGTAGAACTAGGGAAAAAAGATACGCTCAGAACACAAATAAAAAGCCTGGGGGAGAGGTCCCCCCTAGGTTGAAGAGATTTGGATACAGAGCGGTATCTCCCAGGGATTTTCCAGGTTCCCAGGATTGGTTAACACTGAACAAGCTCCCCACCCCCACTCCATCCTAGGGATGTGTCCCTAGTGTCATCTGTCCTGAGGTCTTAAAAACCCATCTCCAGATCACATTTCTGGTGGAGCCTAGTCTGCCTGGGTTGTGGGGTATTTTTAGCAACATCCTGTCCCATGGATGCTGGGGGAAGTGTTGGGATTGGGGCTGGGAACCTGGGCCAGATATGAGGCAGGGGCTGACTGGGGGCACTGGTTGAGGTCATGAGGCTGGTGGTCTCAGGACTTGGGGTCTGGGATGGGGAAGAATGGGGTGAAAACAGCAGATGTTGGAAATGAAGGATTCTAGGCATAAGCAAGTTTGACTGGTTACTACAATGCGGGCAGATCATATGCCTAGCCCTGGGCAGTAGAAGGTAAGGCAGGGTCCTTGCCCTCAGGGGCTTACAGTGGTGGGTACAGCGGCAGGCAGGCTTATTGGGTGAGATAGGAGGGTGCATGGATGGAGGGTGAACAACTGAGACAGTGGCTAAGGACTGGGGTCCCAGTGCAAGGGTGGGGGCCCTTCTGTCAATGATGAGGGCTTCATCTGCCAGGACGGAGAGCCCACGAGGTCTCAGGCCGCCCCAACCCATGTCTGTGTCCATAGCCGACTACATTGTGCTGCAGTTCGGCCGCGTGGCCGAGGACGCCTTCACCCTAGACTACCGGTACCCGCTGTGCGCCCTGCAGGCGTTCGCCATCGCCCTCTCCAGTTTCGACGGGAAGCTGGCCTGCGAGTGATCCTAGTGACCTCCCCCAGCGCCCGCCCGCCAGGGCTGGGGAAAGGATTCACGTTGGAGGCTTGCACGGTCCCTTCACCAGAGCCCCTCGATGAAGACTTCTCCCTTGTCGGGGGGCTGACCCCTCACCGTCTCCGGGTGACCTTCATTCATTGCTCAGCCGGGCACGGTGTGTGGGGGGTGGGGTGGGGTGGGGGGAGGAGCTCAGACGGCGGGTCGGACGGAGATGAAGAACATCTGGAGTTGGAGCCGCACATCTGGTCGCGAAGCTAGGCTGCGCCGCTTCACCAACACCACCCCCGCCCCGCGCCCCAGTCACTTCCTGTCCAGGAGCAGTAGTCAGTGTTGTTTTAACCCCCTCTGGGACTGCACTAGGGCTCCGAGGAGCCGGCGCGGGCTCGGAGGAGGGGGCAGGTGATGGGGGACGCAGAGCCGGTACCCACACCCCCAATAAAGCCGCTTCCTAGGCCTGGACGGGCAGCGGTTCTTCAGCGCGTGCGGAGAACGAGGCGGCGGGAGGGGTCCGGGGGCCGGGAGGGGCCCGGGGGGCGGGCTGGAGGCCTCCGTTCCCCTACCCCCATCCCGCTCCTGCCCCGGGGCGCTCCCGCGTCCCCTCCCACGCGCCCATCGCGGGTCCTACCGAAACTCGGCGGGCTCGCGGTGTCTAGACGCCCCCTGCGGGGGCCCCCGGGGAGCCGGGCCGAGAGGGAGGGCCCCGGAGGTCCAGGAAGAGGGGGAAAGGGAGAAATTCGAGAAACAAGCCTCTCGAGGAGAACCAGACAAACCGGGTTCGGGCAGGGCGGGCGCAGCCTCTAGGGCGGGGCCGGTTCTGGGGCCCCGGGAGTCGGGGGTGCGGGCCCCCGGGCCGGAGAGGACGCTCCGCCTCGGCCGCTCGGGACTCGGGGGGTGGAGGGTAAGGAGCCCCAAGGCCCGTGCGCCCCGGGGCTCCGCCGGGCTCCTAGTGACGCGGCACCCAGGCCCCGGCCCCGACGGGAGTCCTGCCCTCGAGGCGGGAGCTCCGCCCTCGGCCCCGCCCAGGCCGGAGCCCCAGATTCCGGCGGGGAACCGGGGAGGTGGGGGAGTAGCGCCCGGCGTTCCGGGCAGGTTAGGAGTGCCGCTCCGGGCGGGCGAGGAGCGAGACGCCCGGGCGCGGAGAGGCCAGGGACCTGCCGCTGGGGTCCCGAAACCCCGGGGTGGGCGGCCCGGGCGCCGAAGTCACGGGGGGGCTGGTTCCCAGAGCCATTGTCCAGCCTGAGCCTGAGCCCCGGATCTGGGTGCCGGGAAGTTTAGAGGAAAGGGGGAGAAGCTCTCCGGGAAGCCCCGCCCACCCTCCCACCAACCCCCTGCGACCCGGACGAGTGGTTCGGGGGGAGGTCGGGGAGCCGGGAGCCTGGCCCCGGTGCCAGCGCCTGTCCAGACGTCCGCATTTGGGGGTGTCGAGGTCGGGGTCCGGGGGCCCGCACGGTCTGGGGTTGGGGGGGCCTGCCACCGGGGAGCTCGTCCCCGCAGCGCCCAGCCCCGCCGCCCTTTGGACTCCCGGCTGGCGCTCTCTCAGAGCCCGCCCGGCCCCAGCTCCACGCAGGCCTCGGGCCGGGCCTCCGGGCGCCCAGGCCGGCTCCCGCGCGCGGTGTCCGCAGCCGCGCTGGACTGTGGACGGTGTCTGGCAGCCAAGCTTCACGACCCCGGGCGTGTGCCCCCTGAGGGGGCAGGGGCTTAAGTTGCCTTCAGTTCTGCCGCCGGCGTCGGGGTGGAGGCTTCGGAGTTCCAGCCCTGAGCTCTGCGAGCCTGGTTCCGAAGGGACTGGATTTGGGGCCTTGCCTTGGCCACACACTTCGGCAGAGCCCGTGTTTAGACTTTAGAGGACTTGAAGGCGGCTTGTCTCCTCTAACCCTAAGCCCCACCACACACTCACCACCCCCACCATTGTCTGTCATGCCCTTTACTCCTGTCTGGGGAATTAGAGCTGGGAGCGCCCATCAGCCTCTGGTTTCCAGCCTAGCAGGGCCCTGGGGCAGTGTCATTGAGACCAGACCCCTCCGTGTCAGCTTTCCGGGAGAGGGGCCCTCATCCAGGGCTGAGAGGTGGTTTTTCTTCTGTGAACAAGGGGGATTGAGGCCTTGGGGTAGGGCTTCCAGGGGAGGGAAGCTGTCCCTCACACCTCCATCTGTCTTTTCTCTCTCCAGGTAGAGGCAGAACCAGGTCAGGCCTGAACTTGTAGCCCAGGAGAGCAGGGGTTGGGGGTGGGGGCTGGACACAGCTCAGAGGGGCTGGTGCCCAGGGCGGCTCTGTGTATCCCGCCTACCGCAGCCCCAGAGCAGGGGGGCCAGGGCACCTTGTTGGCCAGAATGCTGGGGACAGCCTGGGGCAAGGAGGGAAATCTAAAGTTGCCAAAAGTTAGAGTTTTGGTGAGAAATGAGGTCTTCCTCCCGCCCAGATTCTTGCAGCTCTTTTTCTCCATAGGCGTGCCACCACAGACCATGGTTCAGGGCTCTTCCTGGATCCCTGCTCACCCTGTGAGCAGGCGATGGACAGATGTCTTTTCTAGGACTAGGATGTATGATGAGGGGGACTCATGGGACCCCAGATGCTCCCGCCTCAGAGAGAGACTGGGATCCAATGGGAGTCTCAACCTCGTGGGCCTTCCCCCACCATCACTCCCCCGCCCCCCCAGGGAGGGAACAGTAATTAATGCTACTTAGCGCATTTGGCTGAGTAGGATGGTCAGCGATGGGCAGGACAGAACTGTATGTGTGTGTGTCCTGGGCCCTGCTCCCACATTCACCCTGAGGTTTACAGATTTTGGCACATTCTGAACAGTTGGGGAAATATTAAAATGAAAAGGAGACATCTCAAACAGAGGCGGTCAAGAACTTAAAAGATCTGGTCCCAGCTGAGCCTCTAAGCAGTTGTGTCATCCTGGTCGGCCTCAGTTTCCCTGCTTGGAATCCAGGACTTCTCTGGTTCCTTTTCTCTGAGCTTCTCCAAGTCTCTTTTTGGTTCCTGGTCAGTCGGTCTCCCCATCATGGAAACTGAACCTGGTGGGGTCTGGAGAGGTGAGTGGGTGATCAGTGGGTCTAAGGAAGAAACTGAAGGCTGACCGGGGGGTGACCGAAGGCAGCGAAGCCAGTGAGGAGCTGAGAAGATTACGGGAGCAGGCAGCAGTGCGGCAGGGGGGCCAGGTGTCAGAGAACAGCTCTGGGAACCGACTGTGGGGTCTGGCAAGGAATGGTGTTCAGAGGCCACCTGGATGGCCAGCCCTCTCCCAGACCCCTCTGAGGGCTCAGGGTGGAAGCTGGAAGGGAGCAAAAACTCCCAGTCCTATCTACCTCTTCGCTCAGGAAGGGAGAGGAGCCAAGGCGTCCGGCTCACAGGGAGGACAGTGCGGGGTGGTGGGGGGAGCTGGTGGTGCCAGGCCCCAAGGAGCCAAGAAAGAGGGCTCCCAAGGCTGCAGCTCTCCGTGGAAGTGGCCGGGATGTCCCAGTCTCTGCTCCCCATGTGGGGTCCGAGGGGTAGCCTTGAGGATCCAGGTCTCCGTGGACCCCTGGGGCTGCCCTGGGGCCATGGCGGGAGCTTCTCTGCTCAGAGCTGGGGTGGAGGCCAGCTGATCACACTTGGCCCTGTCCCTGTGGCCTCACCCCGTCCTCCCCTTCCCCCTGCGTTGTGCCAGCCTAGGGTGGTCTGCCCAAGAGGCACAGCCCCTCGGGGCTCTGCCAGTCTGCTCAGGGTCCCGCAGGAGGCTGGGAGCAGGGACCAGAGAACCCTGTCCCTCTGTGAATCCCCAAAGCCTCAGCCCCTGAGGTTTCCTAGAGTGCTGATTGCTTCCTGTGCTCCCTGCCAGGCCCACAGGACCGGAAGTGATAGAGGGAACCGGGAGTGCAACTGTGTGTGCCGCTGGACGTGTGTGTGTCTGTGTGTGTATGTCTGTGAGAGGCCGAGAGGGACCCTCTGTGGGTGACACCGTAGGGGTGGTGCACGTGAGGGGAACTGGGGTGAAACCAGTTCATATGTGTGACTCCACAGGAGGCCAACTGTGTGCGACATTGTGACTTTGTAACATGCACGTGTCAGAGACGCTGTGACGTTCTCGGTGTGTGGCTGGCGCTGCAGGTGCTTGAGAGAAACTATGAATGACGTTCTTCGTGTATGACTGATGCTGCATGCGTGCGTATGTGTGTGTGTAGGGGACCTCTGTGTGTGTGAGGGGCCATCACACAGGGTGGGTTTGTGAAAGAAACTGCTTGACCACTGGTGTGAGCTCACATCCATGTCCGGGACTGACTGGCTGGGTTTCCGACGCTCTACACGTGTGAGGGCCACTCGGCCGTGTGATGCTGTGTGTGTCCGAGGCAGAATGAGGGACACTCTGTGGGCCGGGTGTGCTTACGTATAACACGCTGAGAAGCCGCTGTGACATGATGGACTCTACCTAGTGCAGCGTGTGAGTGCTGAGACGCCGTGGCGACGGCTGAGTGTGAAATCAGGTGTGTGGGTGAGACGGAGAAAGTCCACATGCCGAGGGTCGGTGCCGCTTATGGGGTGAGACTGACCCTGTGGGTGGTCACATCTGAGATGGTTTGAGACAGTGGGGCCGTGGGGGTGACAGCCTTCAGGGCTGTGGCATATATGGTGTGGGATGCTGTGTGTGTTGAATTTGAGGGCCCGTGACCCCATGCACGTGCATCTCCGTGGCGGATCACAAAAAGAAAACTGTTAGAAACAAAGGATGTAATTAATGCTGCTGAATTGTGCACTTTAAAAAGGTGCTTTTTTTTATCGTGTATATTTTATCACCATTAAAAAAAAATTAAGGGACTGCCCTGGTGGTCCAGGAGTTAAGACTTGGTGCTTCCACTGCAGGGGGCACACGTTTGATCCCTGGTAGGGCTGCATGCAGCTCCCCTCACCAAAAAAAAAATTTTTTTTTTTTTAAGAAAGAAATAAGAGAGATGCAGGTGACAGTGAATGTGCGGGACAGTGGCTGTGAAGAGGAGCGTGTATGTCTGAGAGAGAGGAGAGGTCCAGGGCAAGCTTCTGTGTTTATACATGACATTGACAGTGTGACTTTCCCAAGGAGGCAACAACTGACTGAGGGACAGGTCACAGCTCAGTGGGTGACCCAGAGTCCAAGGGGCCCTCTGACACGGTGAGAACTGTGAAACCCAGAGTCACCCCTTTAGGGCACCCCTGCCCTTTCTAGCCTGGATCCCTGGCCTTCCTGGACTGGGTCGGGATGAGGAGACTGGACAGCGGCTCGGAGTGGGGGGTGAAGTCTGGGAAGTGGGCCCCTTCTCTCTGCAGGAGGTTTGAGGGCTCCGAGCCTCTTCCCTCCCTCCTACACTGCTGGAGCGGGGAGAGAGTGAGGGGGAGCCTTGGAAAGAGAAGCCTGGGGGGGCTTCCCCGCCCCCTCGGCTCCCTGAGAAGCCTGTGCCCTAGGAGAGGGGGTGGGTGGGTGCAGAGGCTGGATTCCCAAATTGGAAGCACATTAATAAGCTGGGCAGCGGGGGAGCCCCCGTCACCTCCCTCCTAGTGGGCTCTGCAAATTGCTTCCTCCTGTAAAAATCTCAGCCCGGCTCTAGGGAGGCGGGTACTCCCTCCCCAGCCTGGCAGGGCGTGGTCACTTGGCAGGGTCCCTCGGGGCGCGGGGGAGGGGGGGGATGGTNGTGGGCGTTTAGGTCCTCTGTGGCAGCCCCAGCCTCCCTGGCCTCCACCCCTGGAGCTGTCCAGCCAGTTATTCCAGCAGGTCTGGCCCCAGGGAGGGGAGTGGGCTGCAGAGTACCCCTTATCTCCCTCAGGGCCCCGAAGCCTGCTCGCCCAGCCTCCTATCTCCCACCTGGCCACCACCCAGAGGCATCTTCTGACCTCCCAAGGCCCTGGGAGAAGGGGAAGCAGGTGTGACTGGTCAGATCGAAGGTAAAGGCCACATGAGACCACAGAGGCCTGCGGGCCCTGCAGTAACAGGGAGAGGGGAGGTCCTCCAAGAGGAGGGCTGGGGAACGGCGGGCCGGGAGCGGCCGTCGTCCTGGACGCGGCCCTGTTGGGGTTGACCCAGCCCCCAGCGGTGGCTCCCCTGTCATGCCCGCCTTCCCCTTTGGTCTGCTCAGGGCTCCTTGGGGTCTTTCTGCCCTTGACTCCCTCACTCTGTCTCTCTCTCTCTCACCCCCTACCTTCTGGTTTTCCGTTCCCACACAGCCTGACCATGTCTTGGTTTACTGATTGACCCCCTTCAGCTGGGTCTCCCATCCCCTCCGTCCTGGTCTCTGTCTGTCGGCGTCTCTGTCGGTCACGGCCACTCGCCCCCTCCCTGCAGTGTCCGTGGATCCCACTCTCTCCAGCACTCTACCTGTTCCGTCTGTCTGTCTCTCTCTGGATCTCAATCTCTCCCTCCTGTCCTCACTCCAGCTTCCCCTCTCTGCTTCTCTCACTCTGACCATCTTGTCTCTTTTGTCGGTTTTCTTGGCTGTCTCCCCTTCACCCACTCCCAGACTCTCCCCCATCCCTCCTGTCCATCTCAGGCTCCACCCTCTTTGCCCCTCACTTGGGTCTTTCTACCCCTTCTCCCACCCTTCTTGAGAGCAAAGCAGAGGCTCTGCACACGTGGGCCAGTGACAGTGAGCGGCTGGGGGCTGCCACCCCTCTGAACCCCACCATGGAAAAGGCAGATCAGACCCTAAGCTGGGTGGGGGCTAGCATCCCTGGGGTCAGCTCCCTTCACCATCAGCCTCAGTATTGGCCTCAGTCCAGCCCTGCAGCTGTCTGTGGGGAGCCCGTAGCCTCCTCCCTCCCCGCAGGCTGAGTCCCAGTGGTTTGGCGTCCAAGAGAATGGGGGGGCCCACTCTCTGTCCTCGCCCCACGGCAGTAACTCTGGGGAGGCCTGTCCAGGCTCCCCGCACTGACCCCTCCTGAGTGACATGGCAGGAGAGAGACCCTAGTTCAGCCCCCAGCCAGGCGCCACTGCCCACCTGCCAGTGCCCGGCTGTGCCTTGGGCTGGGGGGTGGGGTGCAGATATTCTCACTGGGCATCAATCTGGGCACCCACGCAGCAGCGTAACCTGCACACAGTGCTCCTGGGCATGGCTGTGTGGGGTGGGGGTCACCTGCGGGCCCCTGGGTGAGTGCCTCGGGCCCCCAGGAGTGTGCCTGGAAAGTGGGTCTTGCATGTAGCCAGTGAGCTAGTGGGAGGGACGGTGGTCCCGCTTCTCTCCTTGACTTGTCCTTGCGGCCGCCCCCCCCCCCCCAACCAGGGGCTCCCCTCCCCCTCGCCAGCTGCCAGCAGTCCCGGCCAGGGGCCGCCGCCCCGCCCCCCCCAGTCTGTCCCAGCTCCCAAGCACTGCTGTGTTCGCCATATTTGGCCACAGTGCTCCTGCGGGGGGCGGGGCGGGGCTGACATCACCCTGAGAAGGGGGGGCCCCCGCCGCCTGGGTGAGGGGAGGCGGGCAGAGACTTGGGGGAGGCAGGAAAGTTGCTTTGGAAAGTCTGGGGCTGGCAGGGCCCCCCATGCGCTGGGCCCCTGCTGCTCTGAGGGAGGCCTCAGAGAAGGATTTGGGGGGAAATGGGTTGAGGAATCTGTTGGGAGGGGTCTTAACTCATCATAATCCCTCATCTGCCTCCCCTCTAGAGCCCACCCATCCGTGGTACCTTCAGGCCTGGGGGAAGCTTTGCATCCCAACTACCCCAGTACTGGAGCAGCTCTGGTCCCCCCCACCCCACATTGCCCTCCCCCCTTTATTACATAAACTTGGCCTCAAGGGGTTGAGGAGGGGATGGAGGTGGGGATTCAGTCCCTGGGCTGAACAGAGAAGTGTGGCCCCTGTGACCATCAGGAGCACGGCTTCCTCCTTCCTCTCTCGGAGGCTGCCCTCTGGCATGCTGGTCTTGAAGGCCTTCCAAGGAAGGGTTATGGCAGTAACCTGGGGGTCCTTGAGGTTGCTCCAGCCACCTGGGTTGAGGGGATCCCTTGGCCCAGACCCCACTAGGCAGACTCAGGATGGTTGCCACGACAGCTGGATCTCCTTTTTGTCTGCAGATGGTGGGACTTCTCATCTTGGTTAAGAGACCAAAGTTAGATCGCCTGTATTCAGAACCCAGTTTTAGTACTCACTAGCTGTGTGTCCTTGGGAAAATTGCTTCACCCCTCTGTTCCTTGGTTGTCTCATCGGTAAAGTGGAAATAATAATAGTATCCACCTCATAGGTGACTGTGAGGATGGAGTGAGTCAGTGTGTGTCAAGTCCCAGACAAGTGCCTGCCATATGCAGGTGCTGTCGTCTGTAGTAATGTGAAGTGTAAACTCCACATCCGCCTGACGATCAGGAACACACCCCCCACCCGGTCCTCCCCCTCCCGGGCTACTCCTGGGCTTCAGGCCTTCCAAAGTAAATAGGTGGTCCCCAAAGGGAGAACCCCCACCCATTTGGTAGGACCTGGAATCCTTGTTTGAAGGGAAAGAATTCTCCTCCCTGGCTTCCATGGGGGTCTCCCACCTGGCTCCCTTCTTTCTGTTCGGCCCAGAGCACATCCCAGAGTCTAGCCATCTGGGACTCTGCAGCTCCCTGGACCCTGAAAACACACTGGACGTGCATTTCTGAGGCTGAAGGGGGCCGGGGTGAGCCGAAGGGCTGTGTGTGTTGGGGGACTGTCTGGGTGTGGTCTATTTTAATAATCCAGCTCAGCGTGTGCAGGGAACTCAGAGTTTATAGAGCCCTGGCCCTTCCACTGTGTGGGCCAGGGCAGGGGCGGGTGTGTGGGTGGTTTATGGGCTGCTGTGGGGCCGGGAGGTGCGGGAACAGGAAGTGGGATGGAGGAACGGGTGGGGTTGAGCAAGGCTGTCGGCAGGCACCTTCTCAGCTGCTCCCTTACCCGCCAGCGTCGCTCTGTTCTCCGGGATTCCTAGGGCAGGAACTGCCCTGAGATTACGTTCCTTGGCAGGGTTCTCATGAGTTAGCTTTTGAGGAAGGCAAAACCATACCCTCCCTGGACCAGGGACCCTCATCCCATGGTAGGTCCTTGGCAGGGTTGTGTTGAAATGCTGGGGGAGAATGAGGGGTGAAGTGTTAGTTGCTCGGTCGTGTCCGACTCTTGCGACCCCATGGACTGTATAGCCTGCCAGGCTCCTCTGTCCATGGAATTCTCCAGGCAAGAATACTGGAGTGGGTTGCCATGCCCTTTTCCAGGGGATCTTGCCAACCCAGGGATCGAACCTGGGTCTCTGACATTGCAGGCAGCTTCTTTACCGTCTGAGCTACCAGGGAACCCACAGGTGGGGGTCCCTGATCAGGGATCCTGATGACGAGGAGGAGGAGAGGCAGGGTTAGAGGCAAGGAGCCCTTCTGAGAGCCGCAGAAGCCCTTGGCCCTGCTGATGTAGTCCTCCTCTCTTCCTCATCACCGTGCCTTTGGCAGCTGCGTGGTCTTGTGAGCCTGTTTTCCTCATCTGAATAATGGGCATCACTCCTTGCCACCCTTCCTGCCAATCCCCTCCCACCCACGCCACCTTAGTTTTGAAGGTTGACTGAATATGAAAGTACAGGTGGTGATGGTTTAGTCACTAGGTCGTGTCCGCCTCTTGCGACCCNACCGTGCCTTTGGCAGCTGCGTGGTCTTGTGAGCCTGTTTTCCTCATCTGAATAATGGGCATCACTCCTTGCCACCCCTCCTGCCAATCCCCTCCCACCCACGCCACCTTAGTTTTGAAGGTTGACTGAATATGAAAGTACAGGTGGTGATGGTTTAGTCGCTAGGTCGTGTCCGCCTCTTGCGACCCCATAGACCGTAAGCCCACCGAGCTCCTGTGTCTGTAGGATTTTCCAGGCAAAAATACTGGAGTGGGTTGCCATTTCCTTCTCCGAAAGTACTTTTTCCCCATTAAAGTACTTTTTCCCCACAGAAGTGCTGTGCAGGTGTAAGGCATTGTTATTGTTGCTCTTGATCCCCACCAGTACCGTGTCTTGAGTGTTAAGAGCCAGGCATCATGGATGGCACTTTGATCTCATTTCATTTTAACCCTCACAATCTCAGGGAGACCCTTCCTTCCTTTTAATAAGGCTCAGAGAAGTGGAGTCACTCACCCAAGGTCACCCGGCACTGACTAAACCACCCCACCCTGGAGCACCGGCCCCCAGGGGTGGGAGATTGCTGCTGTCTGGGAGGGCCCTGCCCTAACCCCTCTGCTTCTGCCCCCCAGGCTCAGGCTGCCCAGTGGGCTCAGGCCCAGAGCCCAGAGCAACCAGCACAATAGCGTCCAACAGCTGGAATGCCAGCAGCAGCCCCGGGGAGGCCCGGGAGGATGGGCCCGAGGGCCTGGACAAGGGGCTGGACAACGACGCGGAGGGCGTGTGGAGCCCGGACATCGAGCAGAGCTTCCAGGAGGCCCTGGCCATCTACCCCCCCTGCGGCCGCCGCAAGATCATCCTGTCGGACGAGGGCAAGATGTATGGTGCGTGCAGGGAGGCAGGGGACCCTGGGCTGGACTTGGGGAGGCGCCTGGCCCTCCCCGCCCCTCCCCCTGCTCTCTGCCCCCTCACCCGACCGGTTTGGCGAAGTCCCACGGGGCCTCCAGCGGGCGGGCGAGTCTGGGCGTGCAAGCCTGTGTGTCTGGATCCTCCTCACAAACAGGCCAGGCTTGCCCCCTCCACCAGAGCGCAACCCACACACGACACCCCCCCTGGCTGCCCCTCCTCTCCTCGCCCCTACCGGCCTGGAGGTTTCGAGGTGACTCAGTGGGCCCCAGAAACTGGGTCAGTTTGGTGTGTTCTGGTCTGGACCTGAAGACAGGTCCCTCTTCTAGGAGGACGTTGGAGAGGGTCCCTCTCCTAGGAGGATGTCGGGGAGCCCCCCGAGGGCTGAGGCCTGGGGTGGGATCCCAGCGCAGAGCAGGGGTCGGGGAGGGGGACTTCAGGGTGGTGAGAGGCCCGCTCTGGGACAGGGCCCATGGGGGAAGAGGGTCTCATCTCCTCCCAGGCCTCCTGCTTGCCTCCCTCTGCCACCTGGCCCACCTCCTGCCTCCAGAAGGGAGTGTCCCCCCCACCCTGTTCCTTCCTCAGAGGGCTCTCCCAGGGCCGCATTTTTGGGATAACTCAGCCCTTCTGCTCCTGGCTCCTTGCCAGCATCCTCCAGCCCTCTGGAGCGGGGCAGGCCATCTGCACCCGGTGTCCAGTGCCGTGGCGAGCGCGGAAGGGAGACAGCTGGGCGGCCTGGGTCCCCTTCCCCTCCCATGGGCACACACCCACCGCGCCAGCCCGGGCCCACTCAAGGGGCGGGCAGGTGTTCCTGGGTGCCTTCCCCAGGATGGGGGCCACCTGCCCCCATCGCCACCTCCCAGATGGCCGGGGCAGCCCCGCAGGGTATTTTTAGACAGGGCGGAGGGAGTGGGGTGGAGGGGGCAGGCAGGAAGGGAGGGGCAGTGGGCCTGGTTCTGTCATGGAAGAGGAATTTGGAGAATGTGGCCCTTCTGCAGAGGCTATGGAGTTGGGGGGCAGGGGGCCTGGAGTTGGGGGTAAGGGGTATGCCCCCTGAGGATGCTTACATACACTGCACCATGTGTCCCAAGCACCACGACAACCGGCTTCACAGGGCCAAGCCCTCAGACACCGGCCAACCTCTGGGTCCCCCGAGGGTCTGGGGTGCAGAGCAGACAAGGCTGACAGGCTGAGCTCACTCTCACAGGGCAGGACAGACACTGGGAACCAGTGACTTGGGGCTGACAGGCTCAAGGACACGGCGATGCACTCAGTGACACCTCTTGACCCAGGCTGTCAGTGTAGGAGGCATGCTGGGGACTGCCCGGTCCTTCCCGCCTATTCCACCAGAGAAGGGCAGGGACTTGTCCAGGGACTCCTGGTGGCCAGGACACTAGGACTGACCCAGGGCCCAGAATTCTTACAGACACATGGGGATGTGTGCCCAGGAAGAGATGTCACACACACACACGCACACACCCCCTCGGTGACACCGAAGCCCTGCTCGGGGCTGGGAGTGGGGGGCCCAGCTGTCCTGCTGCCCTTCGGCCACACCTGCCCCTGTCCGTCTCGCAGGGAAAACCCCGGCAGGCCGCCTGACATTGTTCCACCTCCTGCTCTGCGACCCCTCCCCCAGTGAGCAGCCCCCCAGGTCCTGGAGGTGGTGGGGGAGCCCTGGGGCTTCCCCTTCTTCAGCTGCTCTGCTTGTGCCCCTTGGTGGCGGGGAGAGGGCTGGTGTGGGGTGAAAACAGAGGTGGGAGCAGAAGAGGAGTGGAGGGGGGCGCGGTGTGGTTTCCAGCCGGGGAGGGGGTTCTCCTCTTTGCCCACTTCCCATTTTCCTCTCATCCCAATCTAGGTCGAAATGAGTTGATCGCACGCTATATTAAATTGAGGACGGGGAAGACTAGGACGAGAAAACAGGTAAGAGATGATTTACGCTGTGCGCGCGCGCCCCCCCCCACCCAAAGACACCCTCTTCCCTGCCTCCTCCGGCCCCTTCCCAGCCGAGCTAGCCCACTGCCCTGCCCACTTCCTCGGATTCGCCCCATTACTCAGCCCTGGTTCCCCGACCTGGGATTGAACCTGAGCCATCCGCACTGGGAGCGAGGAGTCTCCTCCTCCACTGGACCTCCAGGGAAGAAGTCCCACTGTCCTTTGTGACCGCCTCCCTCCCCCAGATCTTTGGTTCGGCGACCACAGCTCGCTGGGCAACTGTGGCAGCTGTGTGTCCCTGCCCTGAGTGGCTCACTGACCAGTCAGGGAGACGGATGGTTGGACAGATGAGTGCAGAGGAGGGCGGCCTGGCCGAGATTGGCGTGTGCGCTGTCGGACAAGCATCTAACCCTGAGCAGGCAGGGGAAGGGAGGAGGGAGGGCTGGGAAGGCTTCCTGGAGGAGACGATGCTCAAGATGCCTTTTTTAAGAAGGAACAAGATTTAGCCAGGCAGGAGGAAAGGAAGATGATTCTTCCAGGCTGAGGAAGTTGGCTGTACAAATAATAATTGTTAACGCCTCCAGAGTTGACTTTATGTTCATGTATTTAGTCCTCATAGCAGCCTTGTGAAGTAGGCACAGTAATTATCTCCATCTTACAGGTGAGGAAACCAAGGCCCAGGAAAGTTAAGTAACTTCCTAAGGTCGCTTGGCAGGTTGGCGGTTGGATCCACTGGACAGGAAAAGAGCCTTCAGTTGGGGTGGTGTGTGGAGGGAGGGGTGGAGAGATTTGGCTGGCGCCCGAGGGCCAGGTTTCCCTGGGGGCAGCTGGGGGCCTGGAAGGGACTAGATCAGGGAGTGGCAGCTGTTAAGACCTGTCCCCCGAGCCTCCAAGGCAGAGTGTAGGGAGGGCCAGGCGGAGGCAGGGACCTAGGTCGGCAGCAGTGGCCTGGGCAGCGACCATGGTGAGGGCAGCGGTGGTGGGCATGGAAGAAACTGGTGATCTGGGAGATGATCAGGTGGTTTCCAGTCCGGGGAGGAAACCTGCAGGGAGCCACTTAGGGTACGTTGCATGTGGGGGAAGAGAGGCAGGCTGGAGTCAGGGCCCTGGAGACCCGAGGTCAGCACCGCCCGAACCTCCCTGTCTGGGTGGGATTTGAGCCTTGCCACCCACCCCCGAGATCCCCACTGTCTCCAAGGAAGGTTCTGGGTCCACTCACCCAGTGTGGAAATTGCTCCCTCAATGTTCAGGGCTTCATTAGTCACTCTCACTGGGCCAGCACATGGTTGTTGTTGTTTTTAGTTTATTATTTATTTTATTTTACTTGGCTGCACCAGGTCTTCCTTGTGGCACACAGGATCTAGTTTCCTGAACAGGGTTCGAACCCCGGGCCCCCTGCATTGGGAGCTCGGCCGCTGGACCACCGGGGAAGTCCCTGGGCCAGTTCAGACCGTACAGCATTTATTCATTTAGCAAATTGTTGAGCTACTACTGTGCTCACTCGGCCCTAGGGATCCCGCCAAGAACCGGACAGACAGGGCCCAGTTCCCTGAAGCCTGGGGCCACGGGAGGAATACTAGCTGCTCAGCCCCCGGCTTCAAATACTTGCTCCTCTACCTGCGGGCAGGGGATGCCTCACCTCCCAGCCTCTGTTCCGCGGCTGTTCAGTTAGCTGAAATGTAAAACAGTGTATTTGTGTAAGAATTTGCCACTCCTATTGCTATTATTATTATAGTCATTACAAACCGCCATCCCAGGCACAGGAAGAGGGCACTGTCTTGGGGAGGTGTGTCCTACTTCACCCAGAAGACGTGTTTATAGGAACCTGTTGGTCAGAGTGGGAAGGGGCCCAGGGATCTTCAAGTGAGACCCAGGGAGGGAACAGATCCTCTGAATTCTGGGTCCAGCATCATACCTGCTCTGCTCCTGGCCAGATATCCCAAGAAGGCTGTCTGTACAATGACATTTTACATACTAGCTGTTGGTAAGCTCAGGATTTTAAAAACCTCTGGCTTTTGTCATTTTGCAAGGGTGACACTCCTCTAACTTTATTATTAGAACTCTGATGTCTGATATCTCCTTAAAGAGGGACCCCACCTGTGGTTGTGAGAACAAGGTGTGTCTTTATGTGTCACAAAGAACAATGCAAGGTTTTTTGGTGGTATTCATTTTATTTTTGGTTGAAAAAAATGCAGTTTTTAATATTTATTTTTTTATAGCTACTTGACAGCAATTAATGGGCTTCCCTCATAGCTCAGTTGGTAAATCATCTGACTGCAATGCTGGAGACCTGGGTTCAACTCCTAGGTCAGGAAGATCCCCTGGAGAAGGAAAGGGCAACTCACTCCAATATTCTTGCCTGGAGAATCCCATGGACAGAGGAGCCTGACAGGCTACAGTCCATGGGGTCACAAGAGTCGGACACGACTTAACAACTAAACCACCACCACCACAGCAATTAATACCAAATGCAATGCCTCCGTGGGCTTCCCAAGTGGCTCAGTGGTAAAGAATCTGTCTGCCAAGTAAGAGATGTGGGTTTGATCCCTGGGTCAGGAAGATCCCCTAGAGAAGGAAGTGGCAACCCACTTCAGTATTCTTGCCTGGGAAATCCCATGGACAGAGGAGCCTGGCAGGCCACAGTGCTGGGGTCACAAAATGTCAAACACGACTTAGTGACTAACCGACAACAGTGCGTCCATATTGAAAGCACAGCTAAATATTACATTAGGATTAAGTCCCATGTGACTTTCAGCTGTCCCAGAGTTGGCCATCTGGAGATAAGTCCTCTGGGCTAAGGGCCTGTTGGCGGTGGCCAAGTGGGCTCCGGTGTCAGGCCACTTGGGTCCAGCTGTGTGACCTTGGATGAGTTGCTTAACTTCTCTGTGCTTTGGTTTCATCATCCCAATCATATTAAATTGGGAATGATATTAGTGCCAACCTGTTAGCATTGCTGTAAAGCTCAGATGAGTTGGTACATGTAAAGTGCCGGGAACAATAGTCACTGCGGGACTTCCCTCATAATCCAGTGGCTAAGACTTCGAGCTCTCAGTGCAGGGGATCTGGGTTCAATCCCTGGTCAGGGAACTAGATCCCACATGCCACAACTAAGGATCCTGCGTGTTGCAAATAAGACCCAGTGCAACCAAATAAATAAATAAATAATACATTTAGAAACAAACAAAAAATACTAGCTATGCTTGGTAAATGCTGGTTATTTCATGATGTGACATGATCAAGAATCTTGCTGGATGCAGGTCTGAATCGTGGGTGCGGTGAGATGAGACGCACTAGTGTATTTGGGTCCTCACCAGATAGCAGGGGGCGGTCCAGCAGCCCTTACATAGTAATTTTTAGTCCATGATTAAAAAGAAAAACTGTTTCTTTGTGTCGATAAAAACAATTTGCAAGGCAAGCCAACTGCAATTGCTGGTACTGAAAGTGAAGCAGCTTAGAAGATCCTCAACTTCTTCCCCGCTTGTTTTCATGGGGGAAGAAAACGGAGATGTTTAGTTCTCTGAGGCTCAGGGTCAGATCCTTGACAATGTCAAGGGGTTGTTGTGCAAGCGCACGCCACACACATCCAGACTGTGGCTAGCTCAGTTTTGCCAGTTGAGGGAGGCTTCAGGAAGGAGGAGCTGGAGAAGAAATGCAGTTAAGAGGATATACTGTGTACACAGAGAGGGTCCACACTGCCATGTGTTGGTCCGAGGGGAAGAAAGACGTGCTGGGGAAGGAAGCTACATGAACAAAGCAGGAGCGAGACCAGGCCTGGTTCCATAGGCCAGCAAGCTGGGGTCTTCTTGGGAGGACTTAGGCAGAGGTTCAGGGAAGACCTTCTCTAAGGGATTTCGCCTTGGCGTGTAATCTGGTGGCCAGCAGGGGCATTATGGCCATGGCTAGCCTCAGATGCCAACTGGAAAAAAAGGGGGTCCAGTGTGGAAAAAGTCACCCGTTCCTGGAAGAATACAAGATGCTGTTCCTCTGTTTTTTTTTAACCAGTCATCTTTTAATGGGTGTTAATTCTCCATTAGGATATGAAGGGATTCAGGGCTGCCAGGCAAAGGTCATGGTCAGGAATACAGTGTCCCTTCACGTCGGGCCCTCTTCAGTGGTACTTGCGTGGCCGCTTGTGTTTGAACTCCTTGTAAGAATGGCAGTAGTTGAAAAGCTTGTAAGCTGCCAGCACCGTGGAAAGTCCGGCGAAGCTTCGTTTCTTCACACTGACATACTTGTTGTCATACTCTTGAAGTGCTCCAGCAGTGCCTTTAGGGGCGAAATCCTGCGTCAGTATCCAGCTTAGCAGCTCCTCTGTTTTGATATCCAGGAGCTTCTCCAGTCATTGGTGTGACTGATGCCATCTTGGATTCCAGGGGTCTCTCTCCCTTTACTTTAGATGCAGCCCCGCGTCGGGCACATGGCTTGGCCAGCAGAACTTGGGCTAGTTTTTAGCCCTCACTGGTCAGGTGCTCTTACACAGTGAACAACTTGTACAACTGTACATGGTAGTCCTGGAAGCCACAGTAGGCTCGATCAAGACAGGCCAAAAGAGAGCGGAATTGGCAGTGCAAAGGGGTGTCTGCCCACAGGGGCCCAACAGTTCCCCCCCACTTACAGTTGGTCCCAGGAATAAGGGCTGGGATGCTCTTTGCTAGTGGCCACCCCAGCTATGCCTCCTCACTGTCTGTGTTTTCCTCTCTGGCCGGGCACGGGGCGGCCCCTAGGTGTCCAGCCACATACAGGTTCTAGCTCGGAAGAAGGTGCGGGAGTACCAGGTTGGCATCAAGGTATGTCAGGCGCCTGACCGGGGCCTCCAGCCCCCTCCTCACTCACGGCGCCTCCACCACTGTCTGCACGGCTCAGGCCTCTGCCTTGGCTGGCTTTCCGGCCCCACTGTGGCTCTCTTCTGGCTGAAGCTCTGTTCTCGCCTCTCCTGTTCTTTCTGCTCTTTTTCTCCTTCCTTTCTCTCTCTGCAGGTCTCTAGCCACTTGCAGGTTCTAGCCAGGCGGAAGTCTCGGGAGATTCAGTCCAAGCTGAAGGTAGGGGGTCCCCTGCCACTTGGCCTGGCCTTGCCCGGGCCTGGTGCTGCTCTCTGACCCCAGCCCGGGACAGGGAATGGGTTGTGGAGCTATAGGTGGGCAGCATGGGGGGGTCTCAGAAATATGAGAAGTAGAAGAAGCCCAGTGGCCGCCTCATGCTGCACAGGGCCACGGTCTCTGGAGACAGGGAGGAGCCCAGGAGGACAGCCCGCCCCACAGCGAGGGAGAGGAAGACCAGCTGGGGGCCACGGAGGCTCACCTCTCTTCTCCATTTTCCTTTCCTCCTTCCTCCTAATTGCTGCTTGCTAATTGCATGGGGACTTCGGGTGGGCAGGGAGGAGACACAGGTGGGGTGGAGGGGGACTGGCAAGCATGGCCGTTCCTTGTCTTGGACACTCGATCCTGGCAGCCCTGCGGCCGAGGATCTCAGAGCCTGGGGTAGGCTGCACCTCTTCTCTGCCCATGGCTGCCCAGCAGACCAGGCCTCCTGCCCCCGCTCCTCTGCCTGTAGCACGGCCCCAGTGGGTGTGGACAGACCCAGAGGGCTCCAGCTTGGTCCCCTAACTAGATCTCTAGCCCCTCCACCCTCATCCTGCCCTTTGAAGGGCACCCTCAGCCGACACGGACTCGCTCTAGGTGGCGGGGGGCCGGGGGAAGGTCCACAACTGCCTCTGAGCTTCCCTGGGCCCCTCAGGACCCTGAGAGCCAGGTGGGCGGTGAGATGATCCCCCACCTCAATCTGGGCTCCTCTGTGTCTCGTCTAATCCATCCTCCTTCTCTTCCACAGGCCATGAACCTGGTAAGTAGAACTGCCCCTGCCCTGGGGGTGGGGGAAGGGCAGTGGATGGGAAAGCACCTAGTGCAGAATTTTCAGATCATGGATTGCGAAATCAGTGTAATAGACTGTGCAAACAGCATTTTTTTTTTTTTAATGGATGATAGTGGTTCTCAAACTTTAGCTTGTATCAGAATCACCTGGAAGTCTTAGGGAGCCAGATTTCTCGGCCTCACCCTCAGAGTTTCAGATTTATTAGGTCTGAAGTGGGGCCTGAGAATTTGATTTCTAATAAGCTTCCAGGTGATGCTGGTGCTTGTTGGTCCGCGGACCAGACTTTGAGAACCACTGATGAAATCGAAACTATGAGAGTATGTGACACACAAAATAGGCAAAATGAAGGGAAATATTTTTCATGTATACTGGGTTATGGAATAAAATAAAAGTATCTCTTCCTGTGGATTGTAATCAGAGGGATGATGTACACTTAGGAGATGGGGCCTGGGAGGGGGCCCCTGAGGCAGGGACCCATCCTGTCTCTGGCCTGGCCTAGGCCTCACAGGGCTCCTCTCCTCCCCAGGACCAGGTCTCCAAGGACAAAGCCCTCCAGAGCATGGCGTCCATGTCCTCTGCCCAGATCGTCTCTGCCAGCGTCCTACAGAACAAGTTCAGCCCACCCTCCCCTCTGCCCCAGGCCGTCTTCTCTACTTCCTCACGGGTACGGTGGTCCTGGGAGGTGGGACTGGGGTGAGGGAGTGCCTTTAGGGTGGGCGAGGTGGGGGTCCTGGATACTGAGGGACCCTGGCCTTTGTCCCGTCTCTGCAGTTTTGGAGCAGCCCCCCTCTCCTGGGACAGCAGCCTGGACCCTCTCAGGAGTGAGTATCGGGACATGTCCTTCCCCCACCCTCTTCCTTCCCCTGTGAGCCGTGCTGGACTTTGCTTCCCATCTGGGTTCCAGCAACAGCTGAGCAAAATCTTAATTTAAAAATAGAGGGTTGGAGAGCACCAGTTCAGAGAGCTAATGCTTCTGTCTGTTCATTCATGTGTTTGTTCATTCATCAACCACTTGTCATCCATCTTACAATTATTTTTCACTCAGTTAATCTCTGAGTCAGTCTTTCAGTCAACAAGTCGGGTAGCCAAGTACTTTCAGCTCCTTCAACTCCAGGATGAATTTCTTCCTAAGACACGCCCTCGGTTTAATGAGCAGGTCTGCAGGGTGGGGTTTGAAATGCTACATTAAATGTGCACATCAGTTGTGAGATGCATTCAGACTTCATAAAAGTTAACACATGAAGAAAACAAAACACTTGGGAGTTAGCTGGTTGGCATGCATTTTGGAGAAGTGCACAGGAAGGCCAGGTTCCTCCTTACAGGGGTCCCAGAGGAGACTCACGTGACTGGGCCAGGCGGAAGGTGGGGAAGGGGGCAACCCTCTAACCAGCCTGTGCTCCTGTCTGCAGCATCAAGCCCTTTGCACAGCCAACCTACCCTGTCCAGCCGCCCCTGCCGCCGACGCTCAGCAGTAAGTTCCCTGCATGAGGCAGCCACCACCACTCATCCCTCCTTCAGCACCTGCACGTCTGCTCAGGAGAGCCTGGGCCTGACTGTGTGTGTGTGCGTGCGCGTGCGCGTGTTTGCATCCTGGGAGGGAAGGGTGGGTAGCATCTGTAGGGGATTGGAACAGGCCCGGGCCTGACTGTGTGTGTGTGTGTGTGTGTGTGCGCGCGCGCGCGCGCATGCATGCACTTGTGCATGTATGCATAATGGGAGGGAGGGGTGGGTAGCATCTGTAGGGGATTGGAACAGGCCAGGAATAAGCCCCTTACCGTTTACAGTGTTGCTTCCAGAGCTCTGTTACAAGTACACACCACCAAAAGTGTTAAATTGATATGTGTGTGTATATGTATAATTCTTTCTAGGAAAATACACCAAAATCTTCATGGAGTTTTACTCCTTTTAGGTATTGGGATTCTGGATAGTTTTTATTTTTCCATTTTCACTTGTCTTTTTTTATTTTTGAATTTTTATTTTGTATTGGAGTAGAATGGCTACCCACCCCAGAAGTATTGCCTGGAGAATTCCATGGACAGAGGAGCCTAGCAGGCTATAGTCCATGGTGTCACAAAGAGTCAGACACAGCTGAGCAACTAACACTCACAGCGAATTAATGTTGTGATAGTTTTACGTGAACAGCAAGGGACTCAGCCACACGCACACATGCATCCATCCTCCCTGCAACCACCCCCCAACAATCCAGTTTGACACGTAACATTGAGCAGAGTTCCCTGTGCTATACAATAGGTCCTTGTTGTTTATCCATTTTAAATATAGCAGTGTGTACATATCCATCCCTAATTATCCCTTCCCCTGGGCAACCGTAAGTTCATTTTCTAAGTCTGCCTTTTCACTTGCCTTGTATTTTCTGTTTGGACACACATTAACAGTGACACAAGGAAAAACCTGCTGGTGTACATTACTGAGGCCACAGCACACGGGGGTGCAGGTTCCGCACTGCACAAGGACACCTGGCAAAGGAGTCAGAATCCATCCTGTGTTCCCATCCAAAAGCAGGGCCGTCTTCCAACTGGCACACAGGCCCTGTGCAGGTGGGGGCAGCTCTATTATAGCCGCACAGCACCCCGTGCAGACCAGGGTCCATCTCGTCCTCCCAGGTTACGAGCCCCTGGCCCCGCTCCCCTCCGCTGCTGCCTCTGTGCCCGTGTGGCAGGACCGCACCATCGCCTCCTCCCGGCTGCGGCTCCTCGAATACTCCGCCTTCATGGAGGTGCAGCGAGATCCTGACACGGTATCGTGGGGTTGTGGGCAGGGTCTGTGTGGTCCGGGGCCACCGCTCAGGGTCGTGGGGCTGGGACACCGTGGGGGGTGGGGTCTGTCTCTGTCGCCCCCCCACCCCCCTGGGGCTTGCATGCGCGTGTGCTCTCCTGACCCTGTACTGCGCCCTCCCCACAGTACAGCAAACACCTGTTTGTGCACATCGGCCAGACGAACCCCGCCTTCTCAGACCCGCCCCTGGAGGCAGTAGATGTGCGTCAGATATACGACAAGTTCCCCGAGAAGAAGGGTGGCCTGAAGGAGCTCTATGAGAAGGGGCCCCCCAACGCCTTCTTCCTCGTCAAGTTCTGGGTGAGCTGCCCTCGCCCCTCTGTTCCCGACGGCCCCCGCCAGGTGCAGAGTGCCCCCTGGGCCCGCCCTCCCGACCCCTGCCCCTGCCCTCTCTGCCTGGGCCTGTGGGTACCGTGCAGGCGATGGGCCCCTGGGCGGGATGCCTCCCTTGTCCTCGGGCAGCACCTCATGCCGCCCTGCCCTCTCCTCCAGGCCGACCTCAACAGCACCATCCAGGAGGGCCCAGGCGCCTTCTATGGGGTCAGCTCCCAGTACAGCTCGGCCGATAGCATGACCATCAGCGTCTCCACCAAGGTGTGCTCCTTTGGCAAGCAGGTAGTGGAGAAGGTGGAGGTGAGTGGGGGGCCACAGCGAGGGACGTGGCTGGGGTGGGGGTGGGCTGCTGGGAGTGGGCAGGCCAAGTGACGCCTGCCCCCTGCCCATCCCCTCCGGCTCCCGCAGACCGAGTATGCCAGGCTGGAGAACGGGCGCTTTGTATACCGCATCCACCGCTCGCCCATGTGCGAGTACATGATCAACTTTATCCACAAGCTCAAGCACCTGCCAGAGAAATACATGATGAACAGCGTCCTGGAGAACTTCACTGTCCTGCAGGTGTGGAGGCGGCGGGGGGCACCTGGGCACAGGGGGCATGGGGGTGGGTCAGGGGCCCCCGGGCACAGGGGCCTCAAAGCGGGGGTAGCCAAGCCCATTCCTCAAAGGAGGAGACTGAGCCCCAGAAAGGAGGACACCCCCCCACCCCTCCGCCCCGCACCCTAGCCCTGGGCCGCCTGACTTCCTATCTCTTCCTACCCGGCCCCCAGGTGGTCACCAGCCGGGACTCCCAGGAGACCCTGCTCGTCATTGCTTTCGTCTTTGAAGTCTCCACCAGCGAGCACGGAGCCCAGCACCACGTCTACAAACTCGTCAAAGACTAGGGTGCCCTCGGCCCCCACCACCACCACCACCGCCGCCAGGATCCAGGACGAGTATCTTTCCCACACGCCTGCCTGGTCCCCCTGGCCCCAGGGATCCAGGATGGAGGACCTGGAGGCCTCCCCACCCACCCCTGCACGTCCACTCCCTGCCACTGTTCTGCGCTTTCATTGAAGGAGGAGAGAGGCGGGGCTTAGTGCCGGGGCAGCCCGGCCGGACATCGACCACCATCACCAGCTCTGCCCAGCCTCGAAAGACTGGGAGGACGCCTTCCAGCTCAGGGGTGCGTGGCTGCTGACCTTTCAGGGGACTGTGGTTGGCGAGGAGCTGGATTGCAGAGGCCCCGGACAGGGATCGTGTTGGGAAGAGAGAGGGCCTACTCTTTCTGTGTGCCTGTGGTGTGCCAGGCCTGGGGCAGGCCCCCTCATGCCATCCTCAGACCCTGAAGGGTGAGAGTGGGTCTCAGTGTCTCCGTCGAGGGACCCGGGGGAGAGGTGGGCAAGTTGGGAGTCCTCCCCCGGGTCAGCCTGTCCCTAAAGCCCAGGTTTACACTACCTCCTTGGGGTGGGGGCTGGCCACAGGGGCCAGAGGGAGTCTGAGCTGAAGGGCCAGGGTGGCTGGGTGGGTGTCCAGACAGACCCCAGGGCCCTACCAGCCTGCAGATCCAGGCCCCGGGGGCTTCCTGGTCAGGTCCAAGCTGCCCGGCCTGGCCCGGTCCCAGGACCCCCTGAGAAGCCTCCCTGTAGGCTCCCAGGGGCAGGCCCTGGCTCCAAAACAGGCTGAAGGGTCAGGTCCAAGGATGGAGTCCCAGCCCCCGGGGAATACCCGTGGCCCAGGGACAGCGGGCAGCAGAAAGGTTTGACAGTTTCTCTTGCCTAAGACTTGCATCTGGTGGTGAACCCTTGGGGGACGCCGTTCTCTTCTGTTTTCCCCACCTCGGTCTCTGGCCTGGAGCGGCGGCTCCCCGCACCCAGACTTGGGACTGTTGGTTATCCCTCCCTGTCACCCAGGCCCCTCCGCCTCCAGCCGCCGCCCGTGGGTATTTATGAGTTTCATATGAAGTACTGTGCCCCTTCCTTCCGCCGCCCCTGAGCTTCCTGAAGGTCCTCACAGTTTGCATATTGCTCAGGCCACCTCCAAACCCAACCTAGGTTTTATAATGTATATTATATATTTTTTGTGTATTTTTTAAAATCCAGCTGTGATGGGTTATATCATACATGTGGCACAAGGCTGGGGCAGAAGGCCTGAAGGCCCGGCTCCTGCTTAAAAAAAAAAAAAAATTAAAGTTATTTGTTTGTGGGCTAGCTGTGTGACCAGTCACTTGTGCGCCAGGCCTCTCTGCTTCGGGTGGGCACTCCTCCTGGGGCAGGTCCTAGTGTCACCCTGCCCGCCCTGTCTCCTCTGGGTGGGGGGCCCCAATTCTACCCACATTTAAAATAGATATGTACTGGGACTTCCTGGGTGGTCCAGTAGTTGAGACTCTGCACTGCCAATACAGAGGGTGAGTTCAATCCCTGGTCTGGGAGCTAGATCCCACATGCCACGGGGTGTGGCCAAAAGATAAAAAAAAGAAAAAGTATCTTTAAAAGAATAGATATGATTCAAGGGTCTTGTGAAAGCTTTGCCGACTCCAGCCTTTCTCCCACACCCCCATGAGTTGAGCATGGAAGTGTGACCAGCGCTGGCCCGAGCGCTGTGTTGCACTGTCTCTTTAAATGCGGTGACTTGCCCCAGGTGCCTTCAATACTGAGATGGGGCCCCTGTTAAATCCCCACAGTCCATAGGGGCCACTGCAGGTTTTACCATCCCATCCACACTCCACTCTGAGGAAAGAACCTCAGGAAAGTGAGTGCCCCCCAAGCCGGTGGCTGCTCGCTGGGGGCAGCCGGATTCCAGCCTGCCTCTGTGCCTGGAAAACCTCTCCCCTTTGAGCTCTCCGGTGCTGACACAGCTGGGACCTCAGAGTTGGGGGAGATGGGGTGGGGAGATGGTGAATTCATGGACAGCTGTTTACCAGAAATTCAAATTTAGGGACTTCTGTTGAGGTCCCATGTTCCCAGTGCAGGGGGCAGGGGTTCAATCCCTGGTCAGGAAAGTAAGATTCCTCGTGCCGCATGGTGTGGCCAGAAAAAAAAAAAGCTTCAAATTTAACTTGGCATCCTGTATTTTCATTTGCTAAATCTGGCAACCCTACCCTGAAATCTAGTTTCTATATCATTCTGGCCCAACTTCCAATTTTGCAGATGGGGAAACAGAAGAAGTTAAATGTTCTCACTCAGCTGTCAGTGGCAACACCAGGATTTGAACCTGGTCTTCTGACTTCGAGCCTAGCCCCCTAGTATACTATTAAATAATCAAATGGCCTGTTGTCTTGGTCCACTGCATTGGTGGGACCCGAGACTGTTGCTTGCAAGATGGGGAGGGTGTCCTGCAGACAGAAATTGGTTTATGAGAAACCCGTCTTCTGCTAGGCCTAGGGCTGGATACAAAATCCCATCTCTACTAATAGGTGAATATATTTGTTGGGTGATTGAATCATCTTCACGTGGGTTATTGCCTTCACGCTCCTGGAATAAACAGCCTCCAGGTAATTTCTAATAGAATAATGTAGGTCTCAGGAAAGCTCAAGTGAAATTCAGCTGCCCTCCTCACTTGCCACCCTCACCCCCACATACAAATGCAACAGATTTGGAGTGGGTGACAATTACATAGTTCTGAGGTCTCAAAATAGTGAAGGAACTCAGTAAGAAAGTGGGTTTTATGAACCCAAAACGTAGCGCTCTCCTGGAAGTAGCTCTCCCTGCCCGGGGTTCTGTGGAAAGCTGTAAGGAAAGGCCAAGAAAGCAAGGAACCAAAGAGGCCAGCAGTTCTCCTGCCCCTCTGTTCCTGTTTCCATGTCCTTAGGGAAGATGGAGGTGGGCCATCATTTTGCCAGGTCCACAAAGCCTGAGCGCTGCCATGAGGTTTCCTGGGGGCTCTTTATTTCCCTCTAGTACCAAGGCTGGCTTCTCGGGTGGCTCAGTGGTCAAGAATCCACCTGCCAATGCAAGAGACGCGGCTTCAGTCTCTGGTTCGGGAAGATCCCCTGGAGAAGGAAGCAGCAACCCATTCCAGTGTTCTTGCCTGGAGAATCCCATGGACAGAGGAGCCTGGAGGGCTACAGTCCATGGCGTCACAAGAGTCGGACATGACTTAGTGACTAAACAAATGCTGGAGTACTGGGGCCCCCCAGATTTTTAACTCAGGTGCACACTAGGCTTTAGTCTAGAGTCATCCTAGAGGCTGGGGCTTGTCTAAGATAGCTCAACTGTCATTTATAATCAAATCAGTCTGCTTTCCCGTCCTGTCTCCCTCTTTGCTCTCTCGTGTGGTGCTACGGGCCTCTGCAGGGCAGGCACCGTGGCTCTAAACAGCTTCTGAGCAGGCCAACAGAAGGCAGGGAGTCACGGTAGTTTAATAGTTTTCAAGGACTCCTGCACCAATACATAAAGCCTAATAGATTTTATAAAGTGGGGAGTGGGTTTAATTTTTAAATCCAGGTGATGCAAATCAGTAATCCAGTTAAGACTCAAGTTCCCAAGAATTTCCAAAACATACCCATAGAATTTCCGAAACTATTTTTATTAAGACTTGGCGCTTCTACCACAGAGGGCGTGGGTTAGATCCCTGGTTGGGGAACTAAGATCCCACACGTGGCACAGCGAGAGAGTGGTTGGGGGGGAGGAGCTCGAGGGTGAGACTGATCCTGAAGGCACCTTGTTCTCCCCACGCATCACCATTGATGAGACAGCTGTCCTCAGGATGACCTCCATTCCATCTATCCTACAGCCAACTAAGCCAGACAAGCAGGTATTTATGTGCCCGGTCTAGAACACACATGTAGGTAGCTATGCCTAATTACCATTTTATAACCGCTGATTGAGTACCAAGTGCCTGGCACTGTGCAAAGCACATCATGCTTTTAGTAGGTACCTTCGTCAGTTCCACATTCAGATGAGCTTTCTAGAAGAGGCTGGCTCAGTAGATACCCATCATTTCTGAGTGGTAGAGCTGGGATTCACGTGGGCAGTGGGGGCCTCAGCCCAGTCTGGTGGCGGGTCTTGCACCCGACAAACTATATGCAGCTGGTCATGGGAACCTCTTCTGGGAAACCCTTGCTCTGCTGTGATGCTGCTCAAGACAGCACAGCTGCTGGCACAGCCGGTCTCCTAGAAGTGATTTGCTCTTATCTCACAGGCTGTGATCATTCTCTCAGAATTGGCCGCCAAAGGTGCACTTGGGGCCCACCTGAGCAATCACGGGAGGCTTGCTGGCCTTCACCTAATCACTCTCATACCTTTTGCCGTACTCAGCTTTGTAAGAGACAGGATATAAAATGTAATCACTTGTGAACTATTTTTCATACTATATTCCTTTAGTTACCAAATCATAAATTTTCCGAGTTGCCTTCTTTGGATAACAAAAACCACACAACTTCAGAACTGTAGCCTGCCAGGCTCTTCTGTCCATGGAATTTTTCAGACAATGTTGCCATTTCCTTGTCAAGATGTTCCTGACCCAGGCATTGCAGGCAGATTCTTTACCGAGTTATAGGGAAGTCTCTTTCTGTGCCAGCTTACAAAACCCAGAGTGAACTTTTTGGCCAACCCCACACCAGGAATAAAACTTTCTCCTTTCAGTAAAACTGAATTGTCAGTCTCAGCCAGCTTTCCCCACTCCTTACCTACTGGGAACACTGTTCAACAGGCCTAGGTATTTTATCACTAACTATATTGCCAGAAGAGCAAGTCAGGACTACCACATTGAGAACCGAAATTAAATGCCCATCAATTAGATGTAATGGTTACAACCTGTAAGCTAAAATGACAAATCCCTTTGGTTAATACCCTGATGCAGGGCAAAAGTGGGTGAGAGGAAGAGATGGTTGGATGGCATCACCAACTCAACGGCCATTAGGTTGAGCAAGCTCCAGGAGATGAAGGACAGGGAAGCCTAGAATGCTGCAGTCCATGGGGTCTCAAAGGGTTTGGACACGACTTAGCCACTTAACACCTTGTACACAAGTAGATAAAGGTTATCTTAAGAAGTTTCAGCATTACTCCATGATTTTGAGGGCAGAAAGGCCTTGCCTTGTTTGTAGTAAATGACTACCCATCACTGGCTCATCAGTGCAGGCACTGCACCTCCCTCCCTTCCCAAAGCCACAGAAGACACTGCTGATGGTTTAGTATGGTTTATTAAGCTGTGCCTTAGTAGAGACGCTGGGGCTTGCCCATGGTGCTCTTAATGTACAAGGCCCTGACGTTCTGCCAATTTTTCTTGAGCAATGACACCAGGAAGTTGACAGCTAAGTGGATGTTGTACACAAGCTCATCATCTGTCATCTTCACGTGGCCAACAGCCACTGCCAGACACAGCACCTGTGGGGAGAAGGTCAAATCAGGTTGGTGGCCCGATTCAAAGAAACCAACTGTGGAGAGTGGGCTCATTATGGGTCCATTCCTCCACCTTCCAGTGCCCTAATAAGCAGTGCTTTGCCCTCAGACCAAGACGACCAGAGCTATTTAAAAACCTTCAATCCTTGTAAAGTAATTAGCCTCCAACTAATTAAAAAAAAAAAAAAAAACCTTCAATCCTGTAAAGTGACTGTCACAAGTCCCCAAAATACACAGAAATGCACACCAGGGCTTCCACTCAGACAATGTGGGAAAGCTGCAAGGCCCTGCCACCATCACCACTGTTTAATCTATGCAACCAGCCAAACCACCTCACCTTCTTCATCTGGAACTTGATCGTGGACTTCACTTCATCAACTTTGGCCACCATGTTCTCATTGTGGGTCAGCAAAGAAGGGAACTTGCCAGCCTTGTTCAGGCCTGGGCCCAGGATTCGGGGGATCTGCTTGATCAGAGACTCTGAAGCCAAAAAGGCATCATATTTCTTGGCACCAGCTTCTTGACCAGTTTCTTATTCTTGTTGAGTTTCTTCAGCGCCTCAATGTCCATGTGGGGGATATCCACAGCCTTGGCCTCATCACAATGCTGCTGGTCCCCCAAGACACACACGGAGAACTTGGGGCGGGGAGTGGACTTAAGCCTGCATTTTGGGGGCGGGGGGGACAGGATAGGTCACGTCCAGCCCTAGGCTCCCGAGGCTGAAGGTGAAGGGGTCTGGGGCCGCTGAGCACCGAGCCTTACCCAGAGCCGTCCACATTCACCAACAGCTAGTCTGGCTTCTCAAACTAGCCGGCGGGCTTGGCCAAAGCCTCCCCACGCCTCCCCTCATCTTTTAAGACCCAGGGTGG